GCCTATGAATAACAGATTGAATGGTTTATGTGTTGGGATGGTGGATTTGTCAAAGTCAATTATGATAGGGACCAAAATATTATCTGTCATTTCTTAATGCGAATAGAGAGATGTCAAAAGATCAATCTCTGCACCATTTCACTGTCGTCATTAAGCGGTTGTGTAATTGCCCTATATTGTAATAGGATACATCAAATAATTATATGAGGACTCAATGAAAAAAAAAATACCCTGACACATAATCCCTGAAATGAAATATTACATGCAATCTTGTGTTGTTTGTGGATATTTTTATCTGTCCATTATGATTAGAGCTCAGTTTTTCATTCAGTGGCACTTCAGTGTGAGCTTCTCTCCCCATTGAATTGGATAGAAGATTGTTACATCATTGTTTGATCTAAGAATAAACACTTCGTATTTCTCATATTGCAAACATGCATGATAAAACATTTGAAGTTTCTTGTTTTAATATTACACCCTATGTCTGTTTGTACCTTATCCAGAATGGATTATATATTGTATTTAAAGCACCACCTGTATTTTTTAACATGACTACTAAGTACTTGCTGTCTTACAACCAGCCATTAAGCAAACATACATACATACATCATAAATACAAGCTCAGGGTAAATTCCTCATGTGTTAAGTAGAAAATAGACCTAATAGTATATGCTGTCTTGAGTATTGCTGAATCCTAAATCAAAGTCAGGTGCAGAATTTATAGAAAAATGTATCACGTACCCCAAAGATTCACAGATACACCATATTATATCTGGAATCTTTGGTTATGCCTTGTCTAAGGTTGAAAACAGACCTTATCCGATACTTTACTTCATGTTTACAAAGAAGTGTCAGCCAGTCACTCTAACATCTGGAGAGTGAAAAAAATGGAGAGTTGCAAATTTTGTCCAGATACTAAGAACTCATGGCCATTGAGCAGTGAGGGGATCTTTTTCATGCCAACAACTACTGCAACATGGGACTTAGTTTAAACTATCTCATCTGAAGGACCAGTCTCCATTTCCCACAGTGGGGTTCCAACCCATCTACTTTCTACTTTCTTTGCAACTCTAGAGCAGACACTTTAACCACTGCACCATGTGGGCATTAGCAAGAATACCTCTCTCTTCTAAATATAAAAGACATGGCCCTGAGAGTTTTGATGTAAGGATGGACTCACTTGATATTAATACAGTGAAGTCTTCGATGTATTAATTTTTTTTAAAATCCCTTCTCCTGAGCATTGAGCAAAAATTTTTTTACAATATTATGATGAGAGTGCCTCTTCCAAAAATATGAAAGTTATAGCCATATCAGATGATTATTTGAACTAAAAAGTACTACTTTAAGATATTTTATCACTGAGTACTAGACTTAAGCATTGTGTTTTTTGCAGGAACATAATTTCATTATTTCCATCTTTTTCTCTCTCTTTCTCTCTTTACTTTATTATAGACTGATCCTTACAGTGTTGTAATATACTCAGGTGAAAGGTAGGGCCCTTGCTAAGGCCTTTTGTTTTGATTTACAAGATTTATACTGTCCTAATAAAAAAAAAATTGCAAGACAAAAATTGGTGGAGCCAAAACTCTTGCAAAGCAGCTAGTTAAAAACTTTTAAAGAAACTGCCTGAGTGTTGCAGTGGCTTACGTTAAGTGTTACCAATCATTAAATTGCTAATTATTTAACCAGGTTTCTTCCACTGTTTGCTAATGTTTGTCAGAAGTTGGAATGAGGATAAATTGCTTGGCATACACATCTTGCCATAAGAGATTCATTGGTATCATAGTTTGGGGCTCATTTACATTTTTGAAGGGCACCCAAGGATTTGAATTGTCAATACTTGAAGATAAACTTAATTGTCTAGAGATTTTAGAAATATATCAAGTTTTCATGGTTCTCATAAAACTACTTAGGATTAGCTGTGCAGGAGAAACAATTTTTGAAGCAAAAGTCATTTACAAGAACTTTCTCTTTGCCAGACCACTGTGTGAATGTGGCCATGCATTTTTTAGTGTTCTTCTTTGGTATGAAAAAATATGTAAGTGATTTACATGAAAGACTAAAATTGTTCATGCACAATGACGCCTAGTAATTTAGCAAATATGAGGATTACTTTAAAAACATTTATCATTTCAGTTTCTCTCATGTATCACACTACAGGGGGGACAAGCCTAGATGTTTCATCAGACCCCCATTTTTTTGTTATACCAATAAATACTAAATCTGCCAGTTATCCAGCTTCAAGACTGATTTTTTTACAAAGATAGCTGCTGTAAAAATGTGACATACTTTATGCAGGTCATTTGATAAGTCAAACAAAGGTATTTATGAGAATTTTTTCAATTTTATTTTTTAATGATATACAGCTATATTTTATCCTTGAAGAGATGTGCATAGCAAAAAGGATTCTGGTTATCTGCTGATAATATTATATTTCAATAATAAAATGGGATTAGTGGGTCCTGAAGCATTATACGGTGTCTGCTCATCCCAACATTCATGAATATTTTGCCCATCAAATCTGCCATACAATATCTAGAGAATTCTAAATTCTACAAAAAATGTCGTGATTTTCTCTCTGATTTCTGACCTGAAGACTAACTTTATTTTTCATTTAATTCAAGAAAGCTAAAGTTTATTAATTTTATTTTATCATTTTTATTGCTGGATCATTTTAATCTTGAGAGGTGAATTCAATTGAAGATGATAAATAAAAGAATTAAAACCAGAAAAGTTAAAAATTCAGTATTAGCTAATGGCTGCAAAACAAGAGTATGTACAGTAATTATAGCTTCAAATATTGTCATGTTGTCAGAAGTGAAAGAAAAAAAAATACCTTTTTCCTATTGATTTGTTCACTTAGATAAACGAGGTGGATATTTTCCTTCTTTTTTTTGAAATTTTGCTCTACTTCAATAGATTACATGGTGGTCTGCCTGTAAGCATTCCTCCAAGTTACGTGATTTCATGCAGTGCTGCACCAAAGAAAAAGCTTGATATCTAGAAAGTCATGAAGTCGTAATTTTAAAGATCATAGGTTTAATATTTGTGTAGGTTGATGATATAATTTTTTTTAACCCGTGTAACTACTTTAAGGGTCTGTGGACAATACAAAACCATACTTTGTTGAAAGAAATAGTTTGTTTATAGAAAATTAAAGAATCCTGTGAATTTAATCTTTATGATCACTTTTTAGATAAATCTCTGTATGAACTATGAGGAGGCGGTTGTACATGATGTTGAACTTCCAAATTACACAGCAGGACAAGAGAGCTATAGGCTATTTACTATAATACTACAATATTTATTGCATTCACTAGGCTTCTAACATTGAAAAGGTATAGGGATTTTTTTTTTAGCTAATATTGGAGTTATTCAGTGCCAGTTAATCATTCAGAATTTTCCAGACTTGATTTTTCTGATTTGTTTAGTAGAGATGTTTTTGATATGAAGCAAGAATATAAACTAGATAAGGTCTGTGTCTTATGTCGACAAATAGAGTAAAGCATGTTAATCAGTATAATTAAGTTACATAACTGATGTCATCCAGTGAAATGTCCTCAAGTTTAGAGGCAATTATTTGCAAAAAGAAGCCTAATGTACACAGCTCATATTAGACATGTTTAGGACCTGAATAGAATAAAATGCTTTTGCAGCTACCGGTAAAACTTGAGAAAGAGGGGGGGGGGGGTATGGAAACTTACAATTTAAGGATCATTAAATAAAATTATTTGCATTTGCATTAGATTTGAGAGGTATTTTTAATTATCTTTAATATCAAGTTGTTTGGCTGGAACATCCAATTTTTATTGTAAATCTTGCTTTTTAATGTAGCATTCCATTGGAAGTAAGTAAATGTCCTAGAAAGATAAGGACATGATCAATGATCAAAGTTTGGAAATAATGACTGGCATTTTATGTCATTACTACTTTTTTAATTTAGATTAAAATTGGGACCTATTCCCAATGACAAAAAGTAACCAATTTTCCCAATAATGACTAAAAATACAATCCACTGTAAAATTAATTCAGAAAGTTTTCAAACAAAAAGAAAAGATTTTCGAAAATTTAATTTACATGTACGAAAATAAAAAAAAAAAATTCCCTAATTTCACAAATTTGAAAATGATTTTTCCAATTTCACGGGACCTGGTCAGTGTTAAAATAGGGCACAAACAGCCCTTAAATTGCTTGAAATTTTTGTTTATAATTAGAAGGCTGTTTAACAATCAAAGGTATCCTAATAGCCTCCTCACGTCATGTCTTTATATCTTTAACGCTTTAACAAAATAGCTCCTGCTGATAGTTTGTTGGAAGATAACATCCCAAAATAGGAACAGTTAAGTTTTACATGCAAGGGGATTTATGTGTTTTTATTTTTTGTTTTCTAAAAAATTTGTTTAGTATTTTAAGACGTTAAAAATGTTTTCATCTTTTTGTTAATATATAGATAGTATTCACACATTTATGTATTCACAATCTAAAATTATGAAAGAAAATATCAGTGCAAATATCCTATGTTTTAGAATTTTTGTCTATATATAATTTTCAATGTACATAATCTGTAATACACATGATGACGTGTATCAGTAATATCCTTTTTTTTAAGTTTTCTAAATTTTGCATCTTATATCAGTTGGCAGAACAGTTCTGTTCCTAAATGAAAGAGAGTACCAGTAATGATATATATATATCCCTGGTGCTAAGAGGTATTTTTCAATTTCTTAAGTTTATATACATGGATCTGAGAAAGTTTCCTATTAGCTGAAACTTGATCTACAATCAAATTTTTTTTTGGCTAACAGGCAGCCTGTAAAATTTCTGAAATATACCACAGATTTAGTGAAAGGAAAAAGGAGATAAAAGATAAAAAGAGAGCTTCTTCTTTACATAAAAAGTGCAACTTGTTTTATTTTCCAGTCATTAATTCTTACATAACCTTCTTAACTGAGAAAATGTAGAAATGCAAGAGGCTGTGAGTTTGGAGCGTACTTTACCTTTGAAGGTAGTTTCCCGATTAGTTTGTCCACAGTTTAGCACCTTTGAAATGGTTTCCACTTGAATATTTTTACGTTTCAAGCTGCCGGTGTTGTCAAATGTAGTCACTTTTTTCTCCAGTACGTTATTGACCTCCACCACATCTAGGACGATGCCGGACACTTTCCTCTCCAGTTCCTGGTACCCCTTTCTCTGGGTATTAATGGTTCGCTGCAGGTGGTTCATCAAACGGTACATGTTGGTGATATTTTTGTGGTATTCACTCATCATTTTGTCACAGTTTTTAAGTTTAGATTCTTGTTTGATTATCGTCTGGTTTAAATACGTATTTTCTACTGTTTGATCCTCTAGCATATTTTCCACAGTCTTCAGGCGTTTTTCTAACTCTTTGAATTTTGACCCTGATAGTATATGGTTTTTTGTACTTTGTATAATACCATAAGGATTTTGGGGGTGAGCGGCCATAGTGGTGCTTTCCATGGTTTTATCGGCCTGAGGATATTCCTGGACTTGATTTGGACAATGTCCACCGTCGACCATTTCTTTGACCACAAATGTATACTTACATCTTTTAGTTTTTAGCATCTTTTTGGAATTTTTGCCCATTTTCAAGCTGAGGCAGATGTTAAAACTAAACAACAAAATCACTAAAAATCCCCTCATTTTGGAAGAAATTCTTCAGCTCTGCAGGAAAGTATAGGAGTCAAAGCCTCAGGGGGATCACTCACTAGAAGAAATAAACAGTTTGTCAAACAAGTTTTTTGTCAGAAATAAAATAAATAATCCTCAATTCTTACTCCTAGAATTTTTGGTTTAAAATTGCATCACCTGCAGATTTTGAACAACAGGAGAATTTTTCAAACAGCATCTATGTTTCAACCGATTCCGCACCTGGCTTTATAGACTCTTTGTAAATAAATGTCTAAAATGAAAAATATTCGCAATAAAATTTTCTAAGAATGTTGATTTCTATCTTGGTAATAAACAAGCAGGAGAGTTTTTAAAATTTTCAATGAATATTCCACTCACATTGTATTTATATCTAGGAGACTGCCGAATTGTGGTCCAGTGACAGAATTCATGTTTCTGAGCGGAGGTAGTAGGCATGCCATCCATTCCTTATTAGTCCCCTATTACGAGTGGGTTGAGGTTTGTGCCTCAATGGATGCTGCATCTTCATTTGTCACGCTGATGAAAAATACATCCCCCTGTTTTTAAAAAATTGCCTCGTAGTGCCTCCCACAGTGGCGTATCAGTTCATTCATAAATTTATGCTTGAGAGGCAGATTATTCCGTCAGATAGATTTCACTAAGTGCTGTCGATACTTCACTACTGCCCTTTAGCCTACCCTTTAATACAACCAACTGCCTTGTCATTTTCTTACAGCATATTCATTGTTACCTTTTTTCATTGTTGATAATGTCAAGTTCATGTTTCATGTATCTTCTTCAACGGTGTTGATTTTACTACTTGATAGAGGCAGTCAAATGGAACTTTGGATTAAGTAAGATTTCAGCTTGAAACACTTAAATACATCTGTAGGTATATCATATCTCAGTGGGAATTAATAATGTTCATGTGGATATTGTATACAGTGTTACATAATGGTTTATAAGAGTAATGCACAGAAAATTTCACGAATATCTTCATTTACTCCATTCTCTTAAAGAGGGCATTTTGAATCACACAGATTAGTAATCAGTCAGGCAATCTAGACTAGCTGACTCGTGGAATATGCTGGATTTTCAATGAACGTAGTATAGATAGGCATTTAGCAAATGGATATTGGTAAGAAGTATTACTGCGTAATTACAGTACTTGATAAATTAGTAAGTCTGTGAATCAGGAAAGAAGACATCACTGGTTTATTTTTATATAGCATTTATACTTTATAGTAGTATATATACGAGGTGATAATGTATCAAGTGTCATCAGTTACTGTAAATACTTATCCTAGCTCTGTTTCACATATGAGGAATTCATGAGCTTGTATTGTACCATGTTTTATATTCAGTATTTTTTAGTTTTTTCTTGAGGTGTTCAAATAAAATTTTATTTTAGGGATGGAGTAAGAATTAAAAAAAAAACATTTAACAATTTTAAGATTTAAGAAACAGTTCATATGTTGTTTGTGAAGTTCTATATTGGTAAATGATGGTTTCAAATCATTTCAGTGAATTTATTATAATATGGTATTCAAATGTATAACTAATAGGCCTACGTCTATGTGATGAAAAATTCCTTATCTAAATGATGAAGGTTTATTTTTAACATTGAACTTCCATTCATAATTTTTAGAATATTGATCAGATTTAAGAGACACTACAGATAATGCATTTTAAACATTTATTGGAGTGATGCTCAGATATAGGTGCATACTTGCTCTAAGTCACATTCCTAATGTCTGTTGCTATTGCATTATGTCTTCCGGGGTTATTCCAGGATCAGATTTGGCTTCAGTTAATTAAACAAAGAAATCGGCAATGCCACTGGTACATCAATCACATGACTGAAATTAACTCCCTTTTTGTCAGTTGTTTGGCAATCGAAACTAATTAACAAAATTTGTTTATTTATTAAGAAAAAACATTTTTATTTTGTTTGTTATTTATTGAGCACTGGTGTATTATGTGCAATTAATTTTACACAAACAATTTTATTAAGGTCTTCCGTTCCAACGGAAGACCTTCTACTGATTCTGATGATTAAGATTATTAAGGTCTTCCGTCTTCAGCGGAAGACCTTTTTGTTATTCGTTTGTTTCTTTTCCACTGTTTTTCTTCTTATTTTTTTTCTTACCGATTTTGTGCACGCGATTTCTCAAAAACGGTTGGTTATATTTTTATGAAACTTTCAGGTCTGATAGAACATAAAAAAACTTGATGCATTTTTTTTTCATTTTGATGACGTCACTTCCGGTTCGAAGATTTTTGCAATTTTGTGATTTTTAAGGGTCATTTTGTCCGTCGCTCTTCTTAAAAACCGCCCATCACAGGAAGCTGAAACCTTTCCTGGTAGATAGAGCAACAAATGTAGATTTGCATTGTGTTGTTAACTTTCACCGGAAGTACTGCACGTTAACGCTCGGCATGGTCTGAAAAAAGTCATAATGAGCGTTTTAAAATTTCTTACACTTTTTCCATTATATCGTTTAACATGTAAATATTTTGTTAAAACATATAGAACAAAAATTGTGAAGAATTCTGAGATCTTTTAAATGATATCTCGAAAAAAGGGCCAAAAGTTTTTACTTGATATCTCGAAAAGTATTGAGAATTTGTAATACTTCAAAGAAGCAAAGTTGTTCAAAATGACAAGCTTAATCTATTTGACTCGTCTAAATACGTCCGGCGTCGTCACTTCCGGCCAAACCGGAAGTAGTCAAAAACGCGTATTTTTGCCGTTCTTGTCAAGTTTTTTGGGTAACATATGTCTCTGGGAGCATAAAAATTAATTTTCCGTCCGTCGTCGTCACTTCCGGTTAAACCGGAAGTAGCAAATATTGCTTATAACATAGCTTTAGAGGATTCAAACCATTTTTAGGCGTTATTTCTCAATTTTGTTGAAAATGAAAGCTACTTCCGATCAAACAGGACGGAAGACCTACTCGTTGCTTTGCAACGAGCTTTGCTCTAGTTCTTTTTTTTCCTTTTCCTAGACGCCAAGTTTGAGGCCTCATATTTCACTCATTTCTCAATGGATTTTGCTCAAATTTTCAGAGTTTATAGACGTTACTAAACTCTATCAGAATGCTATCTAAAATTTCAAAAAGTCACTTCCGGTTTTGAGTTATTTCACTTTAAACAAAAATTTATAGGCTTTCGTTTCCAGACAAAGGCTCAGAGACGGCTAAAGCTGGAGCAGAAATTTTACTGATTTTAGATAATACAAGGATTGAAGTTGTGCATGGCGGTTTTTGTTTTTCGATTTCTCTATTCAAAGTGGTGCTATATAGGGGTCAAAAATTAGAACGCCTAAAAGAGCAAAAATTTACACATATTTAGCTTTTTATCTTCTAAACTAAAAATATTTCGTTAAAACATATAGAACAAAATTTGTGCAGAATTACAAGATCTTTCAAATGATATCTCGAAAAAAGGGCTGACCCCTAAATTAAGGGATCTAGAGGGGCAAAAGTTTTTTCCAGATATCTCAAAAAGTATTGAGAATTTGTAATACATCCAAGAAGCAAAGTTGTTCAAAATGTCAAGCTTAATCTATTGAAGTCGTCAAAATGTGTCCGGCGACGTCACTTCCGGTCAAACCGGAAGTAGTCAGAAATAGTTTATTTTTTGAAGTTTTGATGCAAAATTGAATTTATAAAGTGACTGGAGACGACTAAGCTCATTGCTTTCTTTTGTTGACGTCACTTCCGGTCAAAACAGGACGGAAGACCTACTCGTTGCTTTGCAACGAGCTTTGCTCTAGTTTTTAGTAATTTTCTTGCTTGGAAAAGCTAGAAATGTCAAAATCTGCAAGACGTTTACTTTTGTTTGTATACATTTGGAAAATTAACCATAGATATGTTATGCAACACACTGACATGGTATTGATGAATGAAACATTTGTTACAGAATTAACTGATGGTTATCTGCCCTTAGGTGCATGCCTGGGGTTTGATTTTTCTTACTTAATTGGCAAAACTGTATTCTTAACTGCAGAAAACTTGATGTTTTGGGTCTAAGTTAATGGAATAAAATTCACAGAAGATCTAAAGGAACACACACATACACTAAAACATAAAGTGTATTAAAAATCATTTAAATATAACAGTGCTATTTTGTGCTACTTTATTTTAATATTTTTTATTTAATGTCCCTTTAAAAAATTTTCACTCATAATTTGAGATGCAACTATTTGCCACTGGAAAGCTGCAGATTTAGACCTTTACTCGGCACTTACAGCCTTTGAGAAGTGGGGGATCTCTTTTGTGCTAGCATCTACTGTGTCACAGAATGTTAGTTTATAGAATATCATCAAAATGACTGTTTCCGCATCCTACTAAGGTATTGGAGCCCAAAATGAAAGTATCAACTCCATGCTCTGTGAGTCTAGTCTAAACGCTTCTTTGGGTAACTTGTAAACTTTGATTTATACTCAGAATTTAGTAGAACTAAGCGCAACAAATTTAAGTACATGTGAAGAGCATCTTTAAGTGAAGGGAAGCAGAATATGTATGAAAATACATTTGAAATTTTTCCACCCCAAAGACAATGCTACATGTATGTACCAGAAACTTATACTAGAAACTGTACATTGGTCATAATGAACAGTTATCCTCAGTCAAATTCAGGCCCAGGTGGGCTAAGTTTGTAATTCTGTACAGTTTAAAACTTTGTTATCTCAAAAACAAATTAAAGGACTAAGAGAAAACCCATAAAATAATTGGCTTGTAGAATCATCAATCTTTTTTCAGGGTTATGGAGTCAACATAAAGTCAACAAAAAGTAGGTCATTGTGACCTACTTTTGGACTATCATGGCTATATCTAAATGTTGCAGAAACTAACTGGCTTCAAGAATAATGTTATTTTGGCAGTTGATGCATTCATTTTGGTTCTCAGAGTGTGTAAACCAAAATAAAGGTCATGTTGACCTATTTTTGGAATTTCATTTTTTTTAATGTAGAGGATACTATGAAGTTTAAATGGAACTGATTGGTTGTACAACTTATCAGAAATGTAATAAAACTGCAATGGAAAACTGTCAAGTTATCTGATCACAGATAACTTTTCTGATCACAATTTGTCCGTTGCCAGTCGTTGTTGTCATGGTTGATGTAAACTTTTCACATTTTCGACTTCTTCTCAAGAACCGCTGGGCCTATCTCAACCAAACTTGCCACAAAGCATCCTTAAGTGAAGGGAATTCACCCTCATTCCAGGGGAGATAATTGGGAATTAATGGAAATTTGGTGGTATCTTTTAAAAATCTTCTTCTTAAGAACCACTGTGCCAGGAAAGATGAAATTTATGTGGAAACATCTTCAGGTAGATCAGATTCAAGTTTGTTCATATCATGACCCCCGGGGGTAGGGCGGGGCCACAATGGCCGACCAAATTTTTACATAGAAATATATAGGAAAATTCTTTGAAAATCTTCTTCTCAAGAATAACAAAGCCATAATTGATATTTATTTGGAAGCATCCTCAGGTAGTGTAGATTCAAGTTTGTTCAAATTATGACCCCGGGGGGATAGGGCGAGGCCACAATGGCTGACCAAAGTTTTACATAGAAATATATAGGAAAATTTTTTAAAAATCTTCTCAAAAATAACAAAGCCATAATTGATAATATTTATATGGAAGCATCCTCAGGTAGTGTAGATTCAAGTTTCTTCAAATCATGACCCCTGGGGGTAGGGCGGGGCCACAATGGCCGACCAAAGTTTTACATAGAAATATATAGGAAAATTTTTTAAAAATCTTCTCAAGAATAACAAAGCCATAATTGATGATATTTATATGGAAGCATCCTCAGGTAGTATAGATTCAAGTTGTGACCCCTTGGAGTAGGGCGGGGCCACAATGGCCAATCAAAGTTTTACATTGACATATTTAGAAAAATTCTTTAAAAATCACCTAATCAAGAATAGCAAAGCCATGATTGGTCATGGGACTACTTTTGGATATAAACTATTCAATGATAAACCAATTTCTACTTTTTCCCAGCCACAGTGCTCAGGTGAGCGATGTGGCCCATGGGCCTCTTGTTTTATTTTGGCTTAAAGATTTACAATTTTTTTTGTAAAAATCTGATGCATATTAGCCTTAACAGTGAAGTAATATGCAAAATGATAGTTGATTCCATTAGCTTACTCTGTCTCAGCAATTTTTTTAACAATTTATCTACTTTGATATATGAGGTATGTACATAGACTTGCATTGCCAATTCCCTTTTTACCAAAGTTTTGGTATGGCAAAGATGCAATCAAGGATGTCAAAGACAAGGGCAGGTGCACTCAGATATTATTGCAGGTGTATCTATTGATAGCTCAAAGGAAAACAAATCCCTTTGATCAGATTAGTATGGGGAAGATACTTTTACATGTGACCTACCATTTCCCTTCAGGATAACGTTATGGAAGTATGTCTGATTGGCTATTTACCTACCGCGATCTGAAGTCTGTCAAGGGGGGATAACTAGTACAACTGTGCATCTTTGTGAGCTTTTGAATGTTTGGTAAACATTACCAATTGTTTTTGTCATTGTCTGGCAAGTGCTGCTGATTACCTGTTCCCCAGGTACTTATTTTCAGATGTTGACTGACCTTGTACATGTATTTGTCTTGCTTCTGTCTGGCTTCAAAGCCAAGTTGATACAGACATAAAGAATATATCATATTAAAGTCATCTCAGTAACACCCATTTCTCTGTTAATTTGTCTGAATAGTCAAAAATAGGGATACTATTATTGTAAACAGATGTATGATTTAGTCCCATAAAGCGATGATTTCCTGACCACATTACATAATTTTATGGAAGGAGTGTTAATCATCATTTTTTTAATGAATCGGAAATAATTTTCTTCAATTTGGAGACAAATTGAATGCACAGAAAATGGTTGATGCATTAACAATTATCTCATGTAATTCATTTATAATTCTGTTATGAATGGATGGCATTTCATCCAGTGTAACAATCTCCTGTGAAATAATTCCTCCTAGGAATACGTGCTTATTGGGATGTATTTTATTTTTCAATGCTAATCCTATTTTGTCATTTATCACACTTCTATGTCAAATATGCCAATCTTTATTCTTTTGAGATTTATTTCAGAAAGTTTGGATTAAATGCATACAGGAAAATTGTTGGTAGACTGTAGGTTATCTGTCAAACTGAAATATCTATACAGACATGGTCTTATTTTATGACACAATTGTTAAACATGTTGGCTCCATATAGTGCATACTTAAGAAAAAACTTTCTTAAAATGATCCCTTATTATGTAATAAATGAGGTTTTGCAGATATTGCTGTCAGACCACATTTACCAAAGTTTTAAATATAAGTACCAGACATTTAAAAAAAAATATTTAGATTCTCCAAAATGTTTACAGATATTAAAATGATTTTCATACTTTTCTTTTAGGGTCAAAGATGTGGGTCAAACAATGGCAGTGAAATACAGAGAAATATTCCACAGGTAAGAAAATTCTAGCATTCAAATGAAAACGGATTAGGAAAACTGGAGTAAATGGTTTTGTCAAAATAAATCGGTTACACTCGTGATATTCTGTCAAGATATTGTCACAGAGAAGATAAACTCAGTGTAACCTACACCAAGGTTATGTATCCCTCATCAATCTTCTCTGTTCAATTTGTGTTCTCCCTTTTACACTGCAGCTGCATGCAGTGGTGAAAATAAGGAAATCATGACAAAAATACCACAAAGCAATTTTTTTCAAAGTCTCTGTTCCTAAAAGTTTAGAATAGTGGGCTTACAATTTTTTCTGGAATCATGTTGCGAGAGACATGGCATATTATAGACTCTTTAAACTTTTTCTCTTGCATAGCACTTGACTTATTTTTATTTAAATCAAAAGAAAGCATGATTGCAAATTACACCCCCAGTTGATATAATGTTCTGGGTCAATTTTTCTGTCTGTCCAGAATTTTCTAGAATGCATAAGTGTACATGTAGTTTGATTTCTTGTTAAGGTATTATTATTATTATAAGTAATCTAAGTGCACATTTCATTTTTGAATTGCAAATGCATTTATATTTTTAACATTTACAGAATTATTTAAGGACTTCTTATTCACACATTGAAGATATTTAAACCATTATAGAGGTATTGAGTTGCTGAGAAGTCAATACTTTTTAAAATATAATTAAGTAATGTGACATGATAACAGGTACTTTTCATTGAATGTATGAAATATTGGAAAAATTGATGCACATGTATGCATGTTAAGGTCAGGATTCTTCGTTGGTTTCTGACTAGATGAAACGTTCAAAGTATATTTGCTTATACCGATATGTCTTATATATTTATGTGTAAGGTATTTTAAAGACCATATTTTTCTTTCCTCATCAGAATTGTACAACTTTAAATAGAAATGGTAAACTGCATTTAAAAACTAGCAGGGACTATATTTTTGGCGGAATAGTGGCGTATGAAAATATCTTCTTTTCTGCCTCTCAAAATTATGATAGAACAATGGATTTAATTATTATTTTTACACAATCAAAGACTTGAAGAAATTTTCAAATGTAAGTTAAATTAATAATAAGGGACTAAACTTTCAAAATATATCAAATAAATATGATTTTTGAAGAAACTAGAACTATATAAGCTTTCAAACGCTTCCAATCAAATACAGATTTGAGCCAAAAATCCATAAAAAGTACTTTTTCTCTCTTAGTAAACGATCAAAACTTTTTGTTTCTGTATCATTTTGTACATTTATAAGACAACTTTATTATATGTGAAAATAAGAAAAAGTTAAATATAGGAAGCATATGAAAATGACTGATATATCCTAAAAAATTAAGAAAAACAGAGAAAATTTGGATTAGCCAATATCCAGTTAAGTTAAATTATTTATGTAAATTTGGTAAAATCATGCTATAGACCCGATATAGTAATATCGTTTTATGCAAAAGAAACAATCTTGAAACTTTTGAAATAGAGGTAGGCATCACATGATTGGCAACAATCCTTTTTTTATTCTTAATGTCAAGGAAATAGATAATGACCTTGACCTGACCTTACCTCTAATATAAAACGGTCAAATTTAATCTCACTGATACTATTACTTACTGATGTTGTTTACCTGATTCTGTGAAAATTTCATTAATTTTTAAATACAAGAAATATGAGAAGAATCCTACCTTAAGGTCATAAGCCTAAGGTCAAGGTCAAAAAGGTACAAATTTAGCTCAGATGACAGAGAATCTAGATGACTTAATTAGTATATTTATTCACTTAGATTCACTAGCTAGAAGTATATATAAGAAGGAGAGGAAATTTAATGAAGTTTTAGGGTGTATCGAATTCGGTTGATTGCATACATATTCAAAGAGAGATAACTTTTGAAGAGCTCTAACATTTTAAGAGTGAGGGGGGTATTTATCCATTTTGATTCATTGTCCAAGTCTTTTTCTGTTTCATATTCAAGTATAATCAATAAGAAATTCAATTTGATTCCATTTACCAGGAAAGTTTTCAGAGTCACCATGTAACATAATTGAGGATTGATTTTTAAAATCACCTCATGGACCTAACAGGATTGAATAATCTCCTCATTTGTCATTAGCATACTCTTTAAAATTCTTTTTATTACTTCTTGACATCTTCCGAACTAAGTGTTACATGAGAATAAAAAGCATCGTCCCTTTTAGTAAAATTAAATAAAAAATAGTGAAAGGTATATATATTGTTCAACAATTCTGATTCTTCTGTATTTGAAAATTAACATAATCATTATTGACATTTTATTTATCTTTAATCAGTCTTCTGATAATGTGTTATATCTCTGATTTAACTATGAGTCTTCATTGATTTGAGTTATTCCCCTTGTGTAGGGATTTCCAGTTCCTGTGGATGACTGATGTTGAGACAGTAAACAGCATTACAATGGCCTTCCTAGCGACTCCCGTCATACTTGTACTGAACACAAAAACTCACTACTTCTACTTCCCAGACTTTGATATCAAAGACATCACCATTGATAAAATGTCGGACTTTCTGAATAGAGTCAAAGAGGAGAAGATTCAGGTAACACATTGTAACTCTACTGGGGAGGGGTTAGGAAGCTGAAGCTTCAGGTAACACATTGTAACACTTCTGGGGAGAGGGGGTTAGGAAGATGAAGATTCAGGTAACACATTGTAACTCTACTGGGGAGGGGTTAGGAAGCTGAAGCTTCAGGTAACACATTGTAACTCTTTTGGGGGGATGGGGTTAGGAAGCTGAAGATTCAGGTAACACATTGTATCTTTACTGGGGAGAGGGGGTTAGGAAGGTGAAGATTCAGGTAACACATTGCATCTTTACTGGGGGCAGTGGGTTAGGAAGATGAAGATTCAGGTAACACATTGTAACTCTTCTGGGGAGAGGGGGTTAGGAAGGTGAAGATTCAGGTAACACATTGTAACTCTTCTGGGGAGAGGGGGTTAGGAAGGTGAAGATGCAGGTAACACATTGTATCTTTACTGGGGAGAGGGGGTTAGGAAGGTGAAGATTCAGGTAACACATTGTATCTTTACTGGGGAGAGGGGGTTAGGAAGGTGAAGATTCAGGTAACACATAGCATCTTTACTGGGGAGAGGGGGTTAGGAAGGTGAAGATTCAGGTAACACATTGTAACTCTTCTGGGGAGAGGGGGTTAGGAAGGTGAAGATTCAGGTAACACATTTTAACTCTTCTGGGGAGAGGGGGTTAGGAAGGTGGGGGTTAGGGGAGGTGAAGATTCAGGTAACACATAGCATCTTTACTGGGGAGAGGGGGTTAGGAAGGTGAAGATTCAGGTAACACAAAGCATCTTTACTGGGGAGAGGGGGTTAGGAAGGTGAAGATTCAGGTAACACATTGTATCTTCTGGGGAGAGGGGGTTAGGAAGGTGAAGATTCAGGTAACACATTGTATCTTTAATGGGGAGAGGGGGTTAGGAAGGTGAAGATTCAGGTAACACAAAGCATCTTTACTGGGGAGAGGGGGTTAGGAAGGTGAAGATTCAGGTAACACATAGCATCTTTACTGGGGAGAGGGGGTTAGGAAGGTGAAGATTCAGGTAACACATTGTATCTTTAATGGGGAGAGAGGGTTAGGAAGGTGAAGATTCAGGTAACACATTGTATCTTTACTGGGGAGAGGGGGTTAGGAAGGTGAAGATTCAGGTAACACATTGTTTCTTTATTGGGGAGAGGGGGTTAGGAAGGTGAAGATTCAGTTAACACATAGCATCTTTACTGGGGAGAGGGGGTTAGGAAGGTGAAGATTCAGGTAACACATTGTATTTTAACTGGGGAGAGGGGGTTAGGAAGGTGAAGATTCAGGTAACACATTGTATCTTTACTGGGGAGAGGGGGTTAGGAAGGTGAAGATTCAGGTAACACATTGTATCTTTACTGGGGAGAGGGGGTTAGGAAGGTGAAGATTCAGGTAACACATAGCATCTTTACTGGGGAGAGGGGGTTAGGAAGGTGAAGATTCAGGTAGTACATATCATCTTTACTGGGGAGAGGGGGTTAGGAAGGTGAAGATTCAGGTAACACATAGCATCTTTACTGGGGAGAGGGGGTTAGGAAGGTGAAGATTCAGGTAACACATTGTATCTTTACTGGAGAGAGGGGGTTAAGAAGGTGAAGATTCAGGTAACACATTGTATCTTTACTGGGGAGAGGGGGTTAAGAAGGTGAAGATTCAGGTAACTAATTGTATCTTTACTGGGGAGAGGGGGTAGGAAGGTGAAGATTCAGGTAACACATTGTATCTTTACTGGAGAGAGGGGGTTAGGAAGGTGAAGATTCATGTAACACTTTGTATCTTTACTGGAGAGAGGGGGTAGGAAGGTGAAGATTCAGGTAACACTTTGTATCTTTACTGGGGAGAGGGGGTAGGAAGGTGAAGATTCAGGTAACACATTGTATCTTTACTGGGGAGAGGGGGTTAGGAAGGTGAAGATTCAGGTAACACATTGTATCTTTACTGGGGAGAAGGGGTCAGGGTGGAGAAGATTCAGGTAACACATTGTATGTTTACTGGCACTGGAGAGAGGGGGTTAGGAAGGTGAAGATTCAGGTAACACAAAGCATCTTTACTGGGGAGAGGGGGTTAGGAAGGTGACGATTCCGGTAACACATTTACTGGGGAGAGGGGGTTAGGAAGCTGAAGATTCAGGTAACACATTGCATCTTTAATGGGGAGAGGGGGATAGGAAGGTAAAGATTCAGGTAACACATTGTAACTCTTCTGGGGAGAAGGGGTTAGGAAGGTGAAGATTCAGGTAACACATTGTATCTTTACTGGGGAGAGGGGGTTAAGAAGGTGAAGATTCAGGTAATACATAGCATCTTTACTGGGGAGAGGGGGTTAGGAAGGTGAAGATTCAGGTAATACATATCATCTTTACTGGGGAGAGGGGGTTAGGAAGGTGAAGATTCAGGTAAAATGCATCTTTAATGGGGAGAGGGGGTTAGGAAGGTGAAGATTCAGGTAACACATTGTAACCGTTCTGGGGAGAGGGGGTTAGGAAGGTGAAGATTCAGGTAACTCTTCGTATCTTTACTGGAGAGAGGGGGTTAGGAAGGTGAAGATTCAGGTAAGTTATCTTTACTGGGGAGAGGGGGTTAGGAAGGTGAAGATTCAGGTAACACATTGTATCTTTACTCTAGGAAGGTGAAGATTCAGGTAACACATTGTATCTTTACTGGAGAGAGGGGGTTAAGAAGGTGAAGATTCAGGTAACACATTGTATCTTTACTGGGGAGAGGGGGTTAAGAAGGTGAAGATTCAGGTAACTTATTGTATCTTTACTGGGGAGAGGGGGTTAGGAAGGTGAAGATTCAGGTAACACATTGTATCTTTACTGGGGAGAGGGGGTAGGAAGGTGAAGATTCAGGTAACACTTTGTATCTTTACTGGGGAGAGGGGGTAGGAAGGTGAAGATTCAGGTAACACATTGTATCTTTACTGGGGAGAGGGGGTTAGGAAGGTGAAGATTCAGGTAACACATTGTATCTCTACTGGGGGGAAGGGGTCAGGGTGGAGAAGATTCAGGTAACACATTTTACCCCACCTCTGTCGATTTTTCCGTGAAATCCTGGCTTACGATTGGTTGAAGTCTGTCACGTGAAGACGGTGGATTACTTATACCCGGTCAGTTGTAAATCAATACCCGGTCGATGTATTACGTCACAAACACAAACGTTACGTCATAATAGGCACATGATAAGCGTGATGAAGCATTTAGCAGAGAAAACCATTTATAAACTCCAGATAAAACGTAAATGTTTCATCGGTGGGGTAAATTCGTTACATAGTCTTTTAGTGACAGGGTAAGGGCTGATACCTGGTTAGTAAATTTCATACCTGACTCGGCTCCGCCTCGCCAGGTATGAAATTTACTAACCAGGTATCATCCCATACCCTGTCACTAAAAGACTATGTAACTAATAGTATCTCTACTGAGGGGAAGAGGGGGGGGGTAGGAAGGAGTCAGCACATTCAATCAATCAAATTTGTGTCTCTGTCAATTTAAGATTCAGCATTCTGAATAAGTAAAAAAAATTGTAATTGTTACGTATAAATTATATATTTTTATGTATACAGTAAATGTTGTATTCTGATTGTTTTGTAGCCCATGGGAGGAACAGGATTTTTACAAAGGCTGAAAAGGATATTTTATGACATATTTACCACAGTTATTGTAAGTATAGCTATATGGGACAATCAGGTATTTACTTACCATAAATTTAAGTATTTTTCTTCTGATAATGTATTGAAGTTATTAAGGTACGGTGGAATCATTTTAATTTGTAGGGGTCAATGTTCGCGGTAGATAAAATTTTGTTTGTTCATGGGGACATAATTTCGTAGGTAGCTCATTTATACAGAAGATGCAATAAATGAATACGATTACAAAATAAATCTTCATGGGGATGTGAATTCGTGGATAAGGGTGACCCAAGAAATCCACAAACATTGGTCCCCCACAAACATTGATGATTCCACAGTATTGGAAATCCTCAAGTAACATTAGAGGTGGGAGGAAATGTACCAGAGAGACATGAGTCGCCTGGGGCAATGAAAAAGTAGTTTTCTGTCTGCAGTATTCATTAATAATACATTGTATATCTGTTTTACACTGTTCGGACTCCCTTCAGTAATCATCAAAGTGTATTTCTATTTCAGATTATATTGCAGGCCTCTAGTTGGCTGTTTCTGTTAATGTTTTGACCACAAGCACTTAGTGTTTTTAGCTCACCTGAGCCTAAGTGAGCTTTTCTGATCAAAATTTGTCCGTTGTCTGTCGTCGTTGTTGTCGTTGTAACCTTTTCACATTTTCATCTTCTTCTCAAGAACCACTGGGCCAATTTCAACCAAACTTGGCACAAAGTATCCTTGGGTGAAGGGAATTCAAGTTTGTTCAAATGAAGGGCCACGCCCTTTTCAAAGGGGAGATAATTATGAATTAGTGAAAAAATTAATGGCATTTTAAAAAAATCTTCTTCTCAAGAACCACTGGGCCAAAATAGATGAAACTCATGTGGAATCATCCTCAGGTAGTGTAGATTCAAGTTTGTTCAAATCATGACCCTCGGGGGTAGGGTGGGGCCAAAATTTCTGATCAAAGTTTTACTTAGGAATATATAGGAAAAATCTTTAAAAATCTTCTTCTCAAGAACCATTGACACAGGAAAGATAAAACTCATGTGAAATCATCCTCAGATAGTATAGATTCAATTTTATAAAATCATGACCCCTAGGGGTAGAGTGTGGCCAAAATGACGGATCAAAGTTTTACATAGGAATATATTGGGAAAATCTTTAAAAATCTTCTTTTCCTGAACCAATGGGCCAGGAAAGATGAAACTCATGTGGAATCATCCTCAGGTAGTGTAAATTCAAGTTTGTTCAAATCATGACCCCTGGGGCTAGGATGGGGCCTTAATGGCCGTTAAAAGTTTTACTTCGGAATATATAGGAAAAATCTTTAAAAATCTTCTTCTCAAGAACCATTGAGATAAGAAAGATAAAACTCGTGAAATCATCCCCAGTTAGTATAGATTGAATTTTTTAAAATCATGACCCCCAGGGTTAGGGTGGGGCCAAAATGTAGGAAAAATCTTTAAAAATCTTCTTCTCAAGAACCATTGGGCCAGAAAAGATGAAACTCATGTGGAATCATCCTCAGGTAGTGTATATTCAAATTTGTTCAAATCATGACCCCCGGGGGTAGGGTGGGGCCAAAATGGCCGATCAAATTTTTACATAGGAATATATAGGAAATATCTTTAAAAATCCTCTTCTCAAGAACCACTGGGCCAGGAAAGATAAAACTCATGTGGAGTCATCCTCAGGTAGTGTAGATTCAAGTTTGTTCAAATCATGACCCCTGGGGGTAGGGTTGGGCCAAAATGTCCAATCAAAGTTTTACATAGGAATATATAAAAAAAAATCTTTAAAAATCTTCATCTCAAGAACCATTGACACAGGAAAGATGAAACTCATGTGAAATCATCCTCAGATAGTATAGATTCAATTTTTTAAAATCATGACCCCCAGGGGTAGAGTGGGGCCAAAATGGCCGATCAAAGTTTTACATAGGAATATATTGGGAAAATCTTTAAAAATCTTCTTTTCCTGAACCAATGGGCCAGGAAAGATGAAACTCATGTGGAATCATCCTCAGGTAGTGTAAATTCAAGTTTGTTCAAATCATGACCCCTGGGCTAGGATGGGGCCATAATGGCTGTTAAAAGTTTTACTTAGGAATATATAGGAAAAATCTTTAAAAATCTTCTTCTCAAGAACCATTGAGATAAGAAAGATAAAACTCATGTGAAATCATCCCCAGTTAGTATAGATTGAATTTTTTAAAATCATGACCCCCGGGGGTTAGGGTGGGGCCAAAATGGCCGATCAAAGTTTTACATAGGAATATATAGGAAAAATCTTTAAAAATCTTCTTCTCAAGAACCATTGGGCCAGAAAAGATGAAACTCATGTGGAATCATCCTCAGGTAGTGTATATTCAAATTTGTTCAAATCATGACCCGGGGGGTAGGGTGGGGCCAAAATGGCCGATCAAAGTTTTACATAGGAATATATAGGAAAAATCTTTAAAAATCCTCTTCTCAAGAACCACTGGGCCAGGAAAGATGAAACTCATGTGGAATCATCTTCAGGTAGTGTAGATTCAAGTTTGTTCAAATCATGACCCCTGGGGGTAGGGTGGGGCCAAAATGTCCAATCAAAGTTTTACATAGGAATATATAGGGAAAATCTTTAAAAATATTCTTCTTAAGAACCACTGGGCCAGGAAAGATAAAACTCATGTGGAATCATCTTCAGGTAGTGTAGATTCAAGTTTGTTCAAATCATGACCCCTGGGGGTAGGGTGGGGCCAAAATGTCCAATCAAAGTTTTACATAGGAATATATAGGGAAAATCTTTAAAAATCTTCTTCTCAAGAACCACTGGGCCAGGAAAGATGAAACTCATGTGGAATCATCTCAGGTAGTGTAGAGTCAAGTTTGTTCAAAGCATGACCCGGGGGGTAGGGTGGGACCAAAATGGCCAATCAAAGTTTTTCATAAGAATACATGTATATAGGGAAATCTTTTAAAATCTCCTTCTCAAGTACTTCAAAGCCACGATTAGTGATATTTATATGAAATCATCCTCAGGTAGTGTAGATTCTAGTTTGTTCAAATCATGACCCCTAGGGGATTAAGATTTAAGCCCCCCCCCCCCCTCCAAACTCAGTAAACCTTCATTTCTGATCTGATATTTGCTTTTTCCTAGCCGGTGTGCTCAGGTGAGCACTGTGGCCCCTGGGCCTCTTGTTACCATTCTTTTCAAAAATAAAAAAAATCCCATTCTATAATAATATTTTCATTATAGTGGGAGGATTTTTTTATGTACAAAAAGGTTAACAAGCAAATTCAAAGAATTGTGGTCCCCCTGCTTTCGATGTCTTAGTGGATGGGGTGCAATTAATTATGGCTACTGTGTCAAATTTGAATGCCCTATCATATGTAATTCCAAGGTAATCACCATAAAAATTTTTGATCATATGTCATTAAAAAATTATCACTTAAGTTGATTTTTTTTTTAAAATTAGGTCAAACATGAAGGTCAAGAGGTCAGAAATCATAGCATGCCTGTAAATATTTTGTCACATGTAATGCACATGTCAAATATGAAATCCCTATCTCTTCTCAATCAAAAGTTAAAAAAAAGGATTTCTGAAAAGTAGATCAAACATTCAGGTCAAGGTCATTGGGTCAAAAATCATAGTGTACTTTTTAAAAATTAGGTCAGACGTGAAGGTCAAGGGGTCAGAAATCATAGCATGCTTGTAAATATCTTGTCACATGCAATGCACATGTCAAATATGAAATCCTTATCTCTTCTCAATCAAAAGTTATAAGGAAAAAAAAAGATTTTTGAAAAGATCAAATATTCAGGCCAAATCAAACATCATAGGGTACTTAGAGAGGTGTTGTCACAGGTAATGTACATGTGAAAGTCCCATCTCCTCTCATTCAAAAGTTATGACCAAAGTTAAAGTTTTTGAAAAGAAGGTAACAGGTAATGTACATGTGAAAGTCCCATCTCCTCTCATTCAAAAGTTATGACCAAAGTTAAAGTTTATGAAAAGAAGGTCAAACTTCAAGGTCATGGGGTCAAAAATCATGGTGTATTTAGAAAGCTCTTGTTATAGGTAATACACATATTTAACATGAAAGTCCTATTGCTTCTAATTCAAAAGTTAAGACCAATTTAAAGTAATATATAAATTTTTGAAAAGTAGGTCAAACTTCAAGGTCAAGCTCACAGGGTCAAAAATCATAGCATTAGGAAGGTTTTTTCACAGGTAAAACACATGTATAAAATTAAAGTCCTATCTCTTCCAAGGTTAAAATTTTCGTGACAGTTGGACAAACTGACATACTTACAGAATGACGGACAGACTGACGGACAGACGAATGAGATTTTTAAAATGTCCCCTAACTTTTGCAAAAGCAGTACACATATGTCAAAAGCCTGTGGTTTTGACCTCTTCAATAATAATTATGTTTTGTTTCTGATTTAGAGTATATGGGAAGCCTCTCGATGGCTGTTCCTGTTAATCTTTTACCTCTTGTCTGCAATCATTATGTTGTATGTCTATTGTAGAGTGTATAGCAGGCCTCTCGATGGCTGTTCCTGTTAATCTTTTACCTCTTGCCATTAATCATTATGTTGTATGTCTATTGTAGAGTGTATGGCAGGCCTCTCGATGGCTGTTCCTGTTTTACCTCCCTTCACTAATCATTATGTTGTACTTCTATTGTAGAGTATATGGCAGGCCTCTTGGTGGCTGTTCCTGTTAATGTTTTACCTCTTGTCACTAATCATTATGTTGTATGTCTATTTTAGAGTATATGGCAGGCCTCTCTGTGGCTGTTCCTGTTATTGTTTGACCTCCCTTCTCTAATCATTATGTTGTATGTCTATTGTAGAGTATATGGCAGGCCTCTCGGTGGCTGTTCCTGTTAATGTTTTACCTCCCTTCTGTAATCATTACCGTATATTATGCTGTATTTCTATTATAGAGTATATGGCAGACCTCTCGGTGGCTGTTCCTGTTAATGTTTGACCTCGCTTTACTAATCATTATATTGTATTTCTATTGTAGAGTATATGGCAGGCCTCTCGGTGGCTGTTCCTGTTAATGTTCGGCCTCCCCACGGCAGTGGTCAGTATTGTTTGTTACAGTCTCTGCTGTATGGAGGTGTCAGATGAAGCTCCAGAGGAAGATAGCGATTACGAAGATGAGGGAGAAGATCTTCCTCCCAAAGATATAGGTCAAGGTAAAGTATTTAAAGATATTTCCAAACTAAATGATGATTTTTGCTGTAATGTATGCATTCATCAAGTTAAAGAAATTTGCAAAAGGAACAAATCCTTTTGGTCAACAAAGAGGCATATTGCATGTAAAACAGATCAGCTTAAAGAAATTTGTTTATAGATTAAATAGATTAAAAAATTCCACTCAATATGATCTTTTATTTCAGATACAGAAAATCTGCAGCCAGCAAAACCCTTTCATGAAAAAGCAGATTGATGTTTAGGAGGGAAATTCATGACATTCCAGAATGAGAAATATTGTGGGTGGCAAACACCTTTAATCTGAAAGCTTTTCCCAGTGATTAAAATGTAGGTTGCTAGTGCTGTTTATTTTTTTTGGTGGTTATATGTAACCTCTTTCAATCATAAACAAAAACCTGCACTGTGTTTGCCTGTGAACCATTAAAATTATCCCTTGTCAATTGTTTTATTTTGAAATAACTGGGAGTTGCTGTTTTCCTTTACAAGAAACAGGGCATAACTTTAATCTTTTGTCAAGTTGGTGTTAATTGACGTAACATATCATCACCGGATAAAGCTGAAATAGATATATAGTTTAGAGCTAATGGAAAGTTTTTTGAGATAAGCTGAATATAATGGAAGCTAATTTGATCATTATGGCAGTGAATAATGTGTTCCCCTTGTTTTTTTATATAATAGTATGGCATTTTTTCCTATTTGGACACAGGTAACTTTCTGATTATGACAAGTGCTCAGTTACATGTCACAGGGGCCCTAAGATTACTAGGTAGATACCAGTTGTAAGATATCGTATACCATTGCTCTATTATTCCAGGTTTCTTTTCTGTTGATTTCTCTGTGTCATTTATTGTGCAATATACAAAGATGCTGGGACAATCTACTGATATAAGGAATGCTATTGTCAGTACAAAGCAGAATATAAATTCAGCATTTTTGAGTGAAAATGTTAATTTACATTTTACATAATGATTTAGACTATTTTTATATGTTTTATGTAGAGTGCAGGTATTTTATATTATTTAATTTCACCCTATTATTTATCGACAAAATCTGACCTTTTAAGATCACCTGAACCAAAGGCTCACGTGAGCTAATTGTCTGTTTTCTGTCATTGTTTTTCTAAACTTTTAACATTTTCAACTTTATCACAAGAATCTCTGTGTCATTTTCAACCAAACTTGCCACAGTGTATTCTTGGATGAAGGGGAACGTGCTTCTTCCAAGGGGAGATAATTATAAATTACATGTATTGAAAAATTAATGCCATCTTTTAAAAATCTTCTGGTCAAAAAATCATTTGACACAGCTGGACATAGTGGTCAGTCACATAGGTTTAGTCACCAGTGGTCAGATAGGTTGGTAGGGCACCTGACTAGAGATTCAGGGGGCCTGGGTTCAAATCCTGATCTTGTCCTCGACTTATTTCTCCTTTCTTGTTACATAACAGCAAAATCATTATGAATGCAACAAACATATACTATGTATGTGTATTATATGTGAACAAGTACTTTATTAAATGGTCTAAGCATTTAAGGTCACTAATTTTCTTGCCAATTCATGCTGCAAGGTCAAAGTTTAGTTAAACATGTGAATACAAATTCAGTCTTGGACATAATTGATTAAGCCTCCTATCGGGCATTTTTCATCCTGCATGTTACAGCAAATTTAATTTTAAGGTCAAACATCTAAGTTAGAGGTTGCATGAGAATTTTCATTTTGGTGAAGACTATGCTTCACAACCACTTTTTATTTTCAAGCAGTAAAACTATTCATGTAGCTAGGAAAGGAAAACTTTCTTGTGTACCACAGTATATTATTCTCACTTGCTTGAATTCTTGGATTACTGCAATAAAGCCTCCACTCTTTGCCTTTTATGTCCCCCCTGGGTTGGAGTTATTAAATTGGGACTTTCTTTGACTGTCAATCTCTTAGTGTGTTCAGATAACACTTGTGTATTTGGATGATATCAAAGGAAAACAAGATGTCAGAGATTGTAAACTTTTGGAATGAAACTTAAAGGTCAGGAATTTAACTTGATCAAGATCCCTATTGGTGACTTGAGGCCCAAAAGTGACCTTTTTCTTCATCTGCAATTTTAGGTCTTAATCCCTCAAATTCCCAGATTAGATTGTTTTTCCTTTGCATTGTATGCTTAAAATAGTGTGAATGAAGTGTACTGTATGTTTTTTATAGGTATTTGTACTTACGAAAGATTGTTGTGTTATGTCATTATATGTGTTTTTTGTCGTAGAAAATTTTATTTTTGAATGATTTTTGCTAGATTCATTGTTATCTGAAGTATACGAAATCTGTATAAATGACTAGTGATGTAAGATTGAATCAAAAGTGTAATTAAAACTATTTATATTTCGAGTTGGTTACATACATGAAATACATGTATTCATATTGTAAAGAAACTTCACTAATGAACCTGCTTGAACTTACATGGGATGGTATGGGTTTTTTTTCAATTGTAATATTTGATTTATTTTAAATAAATACCTTCATTCAAATTATACACTTTGTAAGTTAGTTATGACACCATTGCTCTTAAAACTTATGCATACATGTTCGTAATAAAATAACATTTTTCACATTGCCTCATTGTGATTATGAATGATTCCTGGAAAATATTTATGTTGTGCATTTGTTGTCAAAGAAATATATAATTCTTATATAAAGCCATAGTTTTATTTTTCCTTTCCATAAGCTAATTATTTCAATGAGCAGATGAGATCGGGGCTGCATTTCATTTCCGGAATTTTGGGTAATTATCAACTTTTCATTTCCGACATTTTTTTGTTTTCATTTCCGACATTTTTCAAATACATATGTAGTATACATAGAGAGTTTAATGGAAAGGAATTAATCATAAGTAAAAGATTGAAATCCAATTTTGTAAATCTATCAGTTAATTGGACATTAGTATACTGACATTTAATTTAGTGCACATAAAATGCTGTTATGATGAAAAGCTACATGTATGTATATATGTAGAAAACCTGTATTTTGGTAAATACTTTTAAAATCTTTTCTTTGACCATTGAAAATGTTTATGTCATTGTGAAATGAAATAAAAAAATGTCGGAAATGCCAACTTCAATTATGACAAATAATCAATTTCAAGTGAATGTTGCAATCTCACTTTGTTTTCAGTTCATGATAAAATACCTCAAAAGTTTCTGCTGCTTAAAATAAAAGGTTTCACAATTTTTTTTATTGTTTGCCTGGACTAATGGACTTTTCTCATTTGAATTTTTCCCAGCAATATTACTGCAATTCAATTATTCTTACACCCCCTCCCCCCAATACTACACATATAGCTGTGCTGGTCCAGAAATATTTCCATATTTCCATTGGGGGGAAAGTGTGTTATAAACCTATATGTTGATCCAACCATGCATAACAAAAACTATTTCTATTCGCTAAAAAACTTTAATATATTCGTATAACAAAGTCAAGGGGACATAACTTGTATTAGTACCACAGTAAATAACATACACTGTAACAGTTAAGGCAGTTCATAAATATAAACAGTAGATAAGGAATGTCAAAGGGGTATATCTATCAAAATCTTCAGTTTATAAAGAAGTTTATCAAATTTTCATCAAATCTTGAATTTTGAGCTTATTTAATGCTGCTAATCCAGTAGTTGCATAATTAATTGGAAGACATTTTAGATTAAAGAGCAGTTTCCACAATTTACAGACAGTTCCTAAACATAGAAACTTAACCCTATTACAGGTAAAGTGAATTAATTGAATATCAGAGCCAGCAACAGTCAGCTTTATGGTTTGCACTGAATTACATCATATGAGGTTGTCTCATATTTTTTTCAATAATCTACATTCAATATTATAAACTTCTTTTTTTAAGTTATTGACAGCAGCATTCAAATTTTATAATTTAGATGAGAAATTGTAAGCTTTATGAATAACTTTCAGGGAAGAAAAAATAATTTTTTTCACAACCTAAAGGTTGGTACTTGGTAAAGTGATGTTTTAGCCACTTGTTTGTATGTCATACAATATCACTTGTTAAATATGCATAATGATTCAATATTGAAAATAATAACTTTACCTTCCTTCTTTTTAATTATTACTGTATTTCAATTGATAATTGTAGTAAAGGTATATAGAATTTAGAAGTACTTTTTTCATTAATGTAGATATATGAATAAATTACAGAGGTATTGTAATGGAATTCTGCCTAACATTGATTACGTTTTCTTAACATTAACATTTAACTATATACAATTCAATCCATTCAGTATTATTATTATGACAATACATATACAAGGTCTTGCTCACCAAGCATAGCTCTGTATATGATTAATACAGGATGTAAGACCCATTAAATGTATAAATGAAAAACAGCACCATAATACATTAACCCAGATTAGATAAATACATATACGAGGCATCAGCTGTGTCCACTAAATTACTGGCACAGCCAGTGGACTACAGACTCTACGTATGGGATAAAGGATTATGCTTCTGATCAAATACAGTTCTATAATTAACAGACTACTCATCTACTAATACATTACATTGTCATGATTATTATTACTGCTTTACACGAACTATACATTATAAACAAATGTTTATTGCAGCATGTTAGGTGAGAAGGAACACAATATGTAATACAAAATACAGAATTTGAAGGTGAAGTCAAAAGAAAATGTTGATCATATTCATAAAAAATGGTGAGTTTTTCTACAAAGATCTTCTATCACAGACATTGTAAGTGAAAATGAAAGTACAAATAAAATATGTAATACATGTAATTTCCGTAGATTCTGATTCAATACATGTACGCATAACACATAATACAAGTTCTAGAAAGATATTAATTCTTTTGAGTGAATTTCACTTCTGTTGAATTTCTCTCTTTTTCATTTTTTCTTTCTTATAATTTCAAATACATGTAGTATAGAATTAAGCTCTGATTAATCTAAAAATAGATTAAAAGCAGAAAAACAGTTTTGTCAAACAGAGATAAAACCTTGCAAGGAAAGTTAAACCTTAAACTGTGAGGTTTTACAATTGATATATAATGCAGTAAAACATTCTTATTTGAAGAAGGTATGGTTTCCATACAAATCTTGCCCTGTGATTTTCTAAATAATGAAAATGGTGTAAAAGTTGAAAACTCATGCTTTTTAAATGATTGAAATTCAATGCAGAAAAATCATACAAGTCATTTTTCTCGCATGTGTTTTTAAATGCTAATTATGACGTCATAAACATGTGCATTTTCCCGTATTTTCCTAAATAGTTGCAGAAGACACAAATTTTCAATGAAATTTTCTTTCAGATAACATTGTCCACAGGCATCGCCCACAAAGATCTTGAGATATGTGATTTGTTATTGAATTTAGCACAAATATATCAAAACATTATTGTGGGCGACGGCTGTGGACACTGTTTTCTAAAGGAAAATCACCCTTGAAATGTGCCATTTTGAGGCTTTTCCTGTTGAAAATGGAGAAATGCTTCATATTAATGACATCATATTTGTAGAATGGTAAACCTTCATGCCATATTCTTTCCTGATTTATCAGAGTCATTTATTTATCTAATATTTAAGCCAGTCTCAAAACTTTTTGATGTCATTACATTTTTAGGGTGCAAAAAAGCTAAAACCATACCTTCTTCTTACTGGATCTAACCAACTTTCAGATTAGAGAGCATTCAAAATGAACATTTAAAACAACTATAATGTTTGAAAACTAAAGATTTTCATTGTTATAGGCAAGATTTCAGAATACATGTCATTCAGATTAAATATAAGATTTATAATTGTACATGTAGAACACATGTTCAAATGAGTTGTACAGAACAAGTAAACAAGTTTTATCCATAAACAAAACAAAGAAAATAACGTCACGTAAGCACATCTATCTCTGAGCACTACAGAATTAAAAACTGTTCACTTCAAAACACATTCAACTATTATTATTCGATCTTATGGGGATATAAGGTCTAATTTACTCAATGAGTTAGTAATTTTCAAAATCCTTTTTTTTTTTCAATTTTACTAATAGAAAAAATATACAATCAAAATTCTATTACACAAGCACTACGTAACCTTTAAAAAAATTCATACCAGCACATTAAACCACCAGTGGGCAAAATTTCAGCTCCAAAATCAATCATTATATCAGTCAAATTAACTGAAAAATACACTTCAAATGATACCAATTACCGCAGTATCTTGAAAATGTTTCACATACATCAACAACTTATAACATTTCTTTATACAAAAATATATAACTTTTTGGCTTGGAATTGTAATCAAAATCATAGTAAAATCCAGTTTGAAATAAGACACTAACAGTATTATACAATCTTTTCTTCCTTTCACAGAAAAATCTTTTCCAGAAAATAACTGAGTAAGTGATGCCTGTCCTCTAATTATGTATTAAATCTACGATGATTCTAGGATTAAACCATGATTTCTTCATCATTTTGTTCTGTGTTTTCTATTGCACTTTCGCCCGAGGTCTCAGATTTGTCTGAGTCAGAGGAACGTTTGGAGTCCTCTGATTTTTCCTGTTCTTTATCAGTTTCAGTTTTTCCCGACTCCCCATTCACTTCAGATTTTAGAGAACTTTTCACTGTAAATCAAAGAAATAACATAAATATTTTATAAATAACCAAACATCTTTTTACAAAGATAAATTAATTCGTCAAGAGTACCTCCTTTCTGCAATGAATAGAATTTTTACATTGATATAGACTGGTTGTGTGGAATATGATATAATCTTTGTGGTAAGTGCAAGTGCTTGATATAAATTCATGCAAAATAAATTCAATACAGTTCAGAAGGATATACTAAGTTACATTTAATACAAATATTTCTTTAAAATTCATAAATGAAATGCCGTTAATTTGAATTCTGTCTAAAATTTTGTTTAGAGAGAAAGAAACTTTACATGAAACATTTTTAGGAAGTGAACTTGTTTTGCTGGCGGTTGACGAGGGCTCTGGTTCCGGTAATTTCTGACTCAGCCTTTTAATTTTCTCTCCGACAGACAAGCGAAGAGTCGCGGAATCCACCACTACTCCACTGTCACTGTCCTGACTGGAATTTACACCCGCCAATTTTTTGTCCGTTTCAACAGGTGCTTCTTTTAGTTTGGCTGTATGGAAGAGAAGTACAGTCAAGAAAAGGACAGAAAAGAAATATGCACGTTTATATCTAGAAAATAGAATTCATCTTTTACTGCAGTACACTGTATCACAGTGTTTGCATGTGAACATTATAATGTGATATTTGATAAATTAATATTTCGAAATTTTGAGAAATGGTGACAAGTTATGAAATTAGAAAGATATATTTTAAAAGCAGTGAAAGTTATGAAGATCCATGATTGAGACTTTGAATGTTAGAATATTTGGCATTAATCAGTTCCTCCAGTAATTTTTCTGTTATATTTAAGAAAAAGTAAACAATCGTTAGTGTCACTAACATTCCTCTGATTTTCGACCCACGCCTGAAGGCTTGGGAGCTTTAGGTGGTGGTTTTGGCCTCAGCGGCAAGGGTTTAGATACAGGTAACTCTGTAATAACAGCACAGTGAAAGAAAAAAACATCCATGTTACATGAATCTGCAGAGAGAGCAAAACCAGACATTTCACATAACCTTCTATTAACCTGAAAATTTTCAGATTCATTAATTTTATAAAGAGAATTTTTTATTTTGCATCTGGAGATTTTATTAAGAAGTAAAGAGATAGCAGTTGATTGCACATGCTGATTTTCTGATCATAAAATCATTTGCTGATTAAATACCAAGAGGCATGCTTTGAAGATGTGAAAAGTTCTGGAAATATTTATACAACTAAAAAAGAAAATAACATTAACAAGAGATTTGCTTTTAACTCTTCTTCAAAATATAATATCAAAACATGAACACGTATTTTTTAAATCATTTTTTCAACAAAAATTGAAAAAAAACTTTAAAAAATTTTAACTTTATCAAATAAAAATACTATTATAAACTTATCACTGTTGGAATAAATTAATTCAACAGTTTATTACATAATGCCTGCTATCAATAAGGTATGTACCCCTGGATGATCTTGAGGACCGTGGTGAAGAAGAATCTGAGTCCTCATTAACTTTCCTGGGAGCTGCCCGAGGAGTAGGCGATGGCTTAGATTTCAGCACATTCCCCAACATGGCTGCTGGGCTGGGCTTATCCTGGGCAGGCTTTGATTGATTGTCATCAGGCTGGCTGACTTTACTTTCTTCTGCTGGGTTAGGCTTACTTTCCTCAGCAGAATTCTGGGTCGGTTTGCTTTCTGTGTCCTCTTTCGCCTCTGCTTTATCCTCAGTCTCTGTTTTGTCCATCAGTGGAGGGCTTCTCCTCTGTTTTGGACTCCTCTTTTGGCTCCTCTTTGGGTGGAATTTCCACTTTTGGTGCCTCCTCTGCTTTTGTCTCCTCCACTGATTTCAGTGGAGTTTCCTTGGGGGTCTCTTTCTGGGGTGGAGGGAGATTGCTGGTTGGGAGATTTTTTCCCTGGAGGAAGTAAAGCAACTGTTGGTTTCCTCTCCTCCTTGTCTATATTCTGTAAATCCAATCAAAACAGTATTCTTAAACTTATAAATATACACTGTTCTTTCTGGCTACTAAGGTTTTGATTTCAGACTCAAATCCAAAACTTGCAAGAATAAATAACTTATAATTGATCCAGCTGAATACACTTACATTTATTTGGTTCATATATAAGAATTTTCTGAACCATACTTAATTCAGCTCTCTGTAGATACATTCACTTACCAGAGTAGAGAATCGTTTGTTGGCTTTCATCTCTGATAAGAAGTTGACGCCCATGGGCCCGCCCATAATTCCGACTCCTCCCACAGGGGGCCGTCTTTTGGGTGGCTCCTCCTTCTTCTCCTCTTTCTTCTCCTCCGGGGCGGCTTCCTCTTCCTCCTTCTCTTCTTTATTCTCTTCTTCTTTCTCAGGAGTTGCATCAGGAGTAGAATCTGAACAAAATTATTTTAATGAAAAACTGGCCCACAAAAGATAATACAGGCAGACTATAGGAAACTCCTTACCAGCCTTACTTTCTGTCAGTGATTTAGTATCTGGTTCCGGTTCTTCCTCCTGGATTTCCTGGTTTTCCGCTTCCTCTTTGGCTGCTGGTTCTGGTTTCTGAGGTGTCTTATCTTTCTTGTCTGAGGTTGATCTTTTGACTTCAGAGGTTTTCTTACCAAAGAATTTACCAATTCCTCTGTAAAATACCAATCCATATTTACATAATGTGATGCATGAACAGCATTGTTAGGTTGAATTTTTAATGTAAATGAAAGTTTCAATTTTTTCTTTATAAGTGAGCTGTATCCATTGAAAAGTATAAAATGTATGATGCATTTCATATCCAGTAAATCAGATTGTGACTATATAATATCCTTTTTAATTCAGTGTATATCCAGTATTATAACAGTGTGACTATGGTATATCCACCCTTTAGTTTTCTCTGGTTTCTCCTCTTCTTTCTGTTCCTTCCCCGTGTTCCAGCTGAACAGTCCTCCCTTCTTCTTTGGTTTTTCTGTTGTAGGCCTAAAATAAATCATAACTTGAGGTAACATTTTTAAGTATAAATAAAAGTAAGCTTAACTATTTTTTAAATTTCAAATTTATGTAGAGTCAGAGAATAGTTTAGGTAAATGATTCATTATCCATTTAAGCATTCAATGATTTATTGGTACACATATCACAATATGAATTCCTTACTCAGGTTCTCCACATTTGAAAATTTAACCATGGAGGAAGCTGCGCGAAGGCGAAATAAGACTGAAAACACGAATGCGTGTTAGACTTCCTAATTTTCATATTAATCAATGGTTGGTTTTACAATTTTTAAACTTGACCACTGTAACACAAAACGTTGAAATAACCCAAAAAGATTTCCAGCTAAAAAATTATTAAATTCAAATAAAAAAGATTATTATGCACCTTACTTCACAAATGTACCAAAATTTGTCCAAAACTGTAGTAACTTTTTGAAGGAATTACAAATAAACTTTTGATACAGTAGCCATGACATTATTCAGAAACAAATAATTATTAGAAATGTTGTATGAAACGTTTTGTTTGAATATGACTAAAACTGATGAATGGGTAGTCTTCTCCTCTAATTTAAAACACAAAGGAACATTTGGACCAGTGTCCCTTTTCCCTGAACATTCTATTTTTCTAGATATTGCATTATGCACCAAGTTTACTGCTTTGTTTACTTCTCCACGTGTCCCAGTGCTAAAAATAGTGCCACACGACGTTTCATAAAAACGGGAAGTAACTATAAAACTAAGACGGCGATTGACACTAACGTACATTTTATCAGAAAGATAATAAAGTTAAAACTTTAAAAACACAACATGGGATATTGATTAAATGCAGAGGATTCAGGAAAATATGAAATTTTGAAAGAGTAATTTGTTTTCTGGCACAAAAACTTGAATCGGATGCATGACGATCATCATTCTCGTACTCCAATTGTCATCTTTTATACACCCGTTATCTAATCATGTGGTGAACATGTTGATATTTCCCCAAAATTATTTACATGTGTACAGGATAATTAAATCTCAGAAAATTGATCAATCAGCTAATTGGCTCTCCATTGTCACGCTTCACAGCATAGTCGCCGATTAAAGACAGTGTTTGTTTTAGCGCAGCATGGCTTTCTCTCGAGGTGCGCGACAGTCGTAGTATAAACACAATCAACTACTCAAGTCATTAAAAATGTAGGTGTCAGGACTGAAATGCAATAAAAATTTAATCATGGCGGCCGCCGCTTTTAACCATGGCGCACATAAATTTAACCATGGCGGGCCGCCATGGTAAAACCCCTTGTGGAGAACCCTGCTTACTTTGCTGGAGGTTCATTCTTCTTGTTTGACCCTTTGTCCATGCTCTCTTTCCTATCTGACTTGCTAGACTTGGGTGTCCCTGAATCTGTCGCTGTGATCTCTCCAGTGTTACTGCTTGTGAAGAATGAGTCAAGACCCTCATCTGCCTTCAGCCCAGCACTAGCCTCCCTCCCGTTTTCTTGGGGCCGGGCAGATGGGCGTCGCCGATTTGGACCTTTGGGTCTTGTTTTGCCAAGATGTGTGAGCTTTGATGAAGTATCTGGTAAATCACCCACTAAATCTATTTCTATTTTTTCTGAAAAATAAAAAAAAATCTTAAAAATATTTTTAACACTTTTGTAGAGGAGAGAAGTTTGGGTTGGATGCAAAGGATAATTAAATGGAAGATAGATTTTTTTTAGTTCTAATACAACATGATTAGGGAAAAAGTAAGTTTCAACATTACATAATAACGTAATAAAGTAAATTAAATGTAATATTATCCGCCTAATTTACTGTGGGCATAAAGTATCAGGAGGGGGCCTGATTATGTTCCCGTACCATTTTAACCTACTTACCAGCAGGTTGTTTGGCTACTACAGCAGTTAAATCTTCTTGTGACCCAACTGAAAAATAACAGTACAAAGGAATCAAAATGTGTCACAAAATGTAACCATCATAAATTGACAGTAAGCATTTCTCAAAGATTTTTGTACAGTCTTTAAGAATAGACAAAACACTGACAGTGAAAATTAATCAGAGTAAAAAAAAATTAAAATCACAAAGTTTATAATTAATCTATGGTGGCATAATTTCTTTTATTAATGAATTCACATGCAATGCAATATTAAATTTAGATTGATAGAGATTTATGCATTTATTTAATTTGAACTTGTCAAGGTAAAGATTTCATGAAAGAATACACTAATTTTATTATCAGAATTTCAGGCATTTTCTAACCAAATGCATATACTAGAATTCTAAACTAAAAAATAATGCAAATTAGTATTAAGAGAGTTATTTATCAAAATTTTCTCTGTAAAAAATTCAATATTATAGTGAACTATTTGTAGTTCAACAAAGAGACTTTATGGTGTCTTATCTTAAATATTAATGATCTTTCAATATATGATGTTTTATCATTCATATGATTTTCCAATCAAATTCATGTACATGTATATATCCAGAATTTATTACACGGTTCTATGTTTACCTTTTTTTAATGCACTAAGCAGCATAAATTTCTGTTGTTGAAACTGTGTGAATTCTAACATACAATTCACTTTTCATACATATTTACATAATACACTTCTATAAAAACATAAAATTTCTTATGAACATAATCTTTCATGTGTGTTGAAGGTGATACTTAAATGACAAACAAAAGCTAAAGAGCAGGGGGGATAAATATATATGTGTACATATGTCTGTGAATTACAACACCCAGGTACCTTCTTCATTGGTTTCAGTGGCCTTGACCTCTGCAACATCACTGACCTTTGACCCATCATGGTCATTCTCCTTGGCTTGGTGAATTTGTAAAGCTTGAGCTACCTGCCCTGGATCTATTTTGTGCACAGTAAACAGATGAAGACAGACAAAAGAAATGGTTAGCAATTAAATGATGATTGTCACATGACTAATCATGTGACCTTCAATTAAAGTGTGAAACTGTAAGCAAGATTGTAAAGCAAAGAGAGATCAGCAACCAAAATCAGATTTTATTAAATAAAAAAAAAAAATGAATGGACTGCATTCACATTCCTAAGTTAATAAATTGTTTAGGTAAAAAATAGGTTTCTAAGGGAGAAAAAAACTTACTCTTCTTTTTCTTATTTTCAACTGTTCACAAAGCAAATTTCTAATTTTTTTTTAGAACATTATTACTTATAAAAGTTTTCTTTTAGATACTTCCTAATAAAAAAATAATGAATTGCATAATCTCCCTTTTGTTGGTGTCACAGGGTGAAAATTACTCACACAGACATCTCCAGCTTAGCAAAGCAAGGCAACACACAAAAATTTTCTATATTTCTGGACTATTATACTAGTCGGCTGCATTTCATTTCCGGAATTTTTGGTAATTATCAACTTTTCATTTCCGACATTTTTTAGTTTTCATTTCCGACATTTTTTTGTTTTCATTTCCGACATTTTTCATATACATACGTAGTACCTATAGTAATAGATTTGATGACTTATGAAAAAATTAAAGGAATAAATCATAAATAAATCATTGAAATTCAATTTTGTAAATCTATATATATCCGTGACTTGGACATAAGTATGATGCTGTCACTGACATTAAATTTAGTGCACGTTAAATGTGGTGAAAAAGGCTTATTCTAATTGAACTCTTTTACCTAGACTTAGTGCTGCATGTATATGTAGGCTATAGCTTTTTTTTTAAATTTATTTTTTATTAATATTTTGGTATAGATACTTTTAAAATCCCATTTTCTTTTACTTAGAAAACATTGAATTGCCGCACAGGTAAATTCCGGAAATGAAAACAAAATAATGTCAGAAATGAAAACAAAAAATGTCGGAAATGAAATAAAAAAATGTTGGAAATGCTATGCATATTTCCGGAAATGAAATGCAGCGATACTAGTCTTATCAAAACCTGAGAGATTTCCCCAAAAATTTTATTTCACTATTATAATTTATGAACATTTAATTACGACAAAATTAATTCTTAAAAGAAAAAAAAATATCAAATCAGGAACAGCTTAAATAAGCTTGTGTTAAAGTCTTGTCATCAGATTTCCAGATGTAATCAATAAGCTATTCTACAACTATGTATCACATAATGCTTTGGTTCTATTCTGGCCGAGTCTCATTTAAACTCAACTATAATCGATAATTATATAACAAATACTAGTATCAATGTCTATCTAAGTATATATTTTCTAGACCTAAGTGTACATAATATGCAGGAGATGCAGTTAAGTGCAGTACTCTAGAGCCTTTCACCATTGTTTATCTCAGAGGAATCAGCAGAAGTGGTGTACACATAACTGATAAAAACTTACCAATAACTGTAGGGGGTCGCATTTTCCGGGCATGAACACTTTTCCTCTTGTTGGTTAAGTTTGGTGTACTCTATATATAATACAGTACAAAGCGTTAGTCAAGTTTTAGCATATTATACAGTTCAGGCAAATAATCTATTTTCAATGTAGTAAGAACAATAGTATTTTAATTGATGCTGTTTAAGACTTATTTCTACTCTGCAAAGTATGGTATTTATCAAAGCAATTAAAACCTAAAAGTATGCATTTCTAAATAAATTTTTCATTGGAGAATATTTTTCTTACATGTAAATGAATTTACAGTTTTTACATCCCACAGAATAATTTTATTCTTACTGATACTGTAAACCAACTTTTATTTGTGTGCAAGAATTTTTGCGAGGTTCGTGAGAGGTTCATCATCTCAAATATTTCTCACCGTGAACCGGTCCTTAAAGTCTCTTTCAAATTAAATTTGACGTGAATAAAAGTTGGTTTACAGAATACATGTATTTCTAATGCAAAATAAGGAAAACATGAAAAATGTATTATTTTTTAACTTAAATATAAACTTTGAGTTCTAAGATTATACATGTACACTTCCTAATCTTTGTTTTCCAACTTATCAAAGGCCATTTTTACTTGTGCTCATTTGTTAATTTTATAATTAGATACAATATGGCAGGCCAAAAACCTCTTTCGCATACACTGTCTCTCTGTAGATATCAACATACATGTATGTATATGGAAGAAATTCATGCAAAATAAAGTTTTTAAAGAACAAAAAATACATTCTGAATGTAGCAGGTGCTTGAAGAGCTTTAAATGCATGTGCTTATACATGTACTGGCAAATTTACATTATCCCCTGTTTTCATCTACAAGCATGGCTTAAAAGTGCTTTTAACCACTATGAAGAAGCATTATAATATGTTATTTGTAGAATGAAAAAAATGCTTTATAAGCCCCCTTCCCTAAATTTTCTCCTTCAATTACCTCTCTAGACACCTAAATAAAAACAGATTAATTTCAAAGTTAATTTGAGTAGATTTACTGATTTCTCACCAGGCTGGTTTATATGCATTAGTGTATCATGTCAATGGTGCATTTGTCCATGTCCTTAACATCATTGCAGCTGATTTCTGATTCTATCTATTTTTTGTGCTAGAGGTAACCATGATGATTTATGCTTAAGCTCTGACTGGTAATAATGATATATCTGTATATATATATAAAGCAGTCAGCAACAGGGGAAACATCTGTGTATTAAATATGTATGTAAAATTTTAAAATCTGACTTAAATACGTACGTAGGGGTGTGTCTGTAGAAATGGTACCGTGTACGCAATATACTAAAGTCACATGCAAAAAGGAGAAACAAGGTCACATGAGACATGATCAAAATCACAATGTTAGGGGAAACAGAACAATCAGCAAAACAAATCATTTTCTTTTCCATGCATATGCTTTGTATAACAGAAGAAAAATTTGGCTCTTTGAATTGACATCACTTCAAAGTAGTCAAACAATCCTAGCATAAATCAGCAAGAACTAAAGTTTCCTAAGTACATGTAAGTTTCATTTTTATTATTCACATGTAATTTTTCAACATGATTTATAAATTATTTGTTATAAATTTTGTATAATATATTTCACACTCCATCTTTTAAACCAACATTAACAGTAAAGGGAAGGGAGGCAACTCATGAAACAAAAACAACAATCCCAAATTGACACATAAAGCACATTGAAACCTCAAAAATCCTAAAAGTCCAGGTGGTTCTAAATTCCCCAACCTAGGTGCCTCCAAACTACACTACATGGACTAACAGCTGCTAAACTCCCCACAATCTGAAGTGAATGTTTTACTTATAGATTTAGATAAAGGAAAAAGAACTGATTACGTGTGTATGTGTGTAATCTAACATGATGTAGAAGACAGAAATGAAATTATATAAATTTCAAGATATAAAACTTACACTGTTTTCAGGTACTTCTAGATTATCCTTTATTATAAGTTCAAGAAGAAAGATAACAAATATGATAAAATTGAAAATGAAAATTGACAAGCATAATTTGTACCAACTTTTAAAGAAAAAAAAATTCAAAGATATTTTCAAAAATTGATTTATAAAACTAAGAAGAAACCCAAATCATGCACATTTCAGAAAAAAAAAATTCTAAAAAATAGGAAAAAAACATTTTTATAAGAGTTTTAAGAGAAAATAGTTAATAACTCACATGGCTGCTTTTAGATGATGCCTTTGAACAATTATTCAAAACATTAACAAAATCATTGGTGACAACAGCTGATCGTACAATACAATAATTGGGTATTTTTAAAATCAATTTCCTACTATAAATAGAATTATTTAAAAGGGACTTGCGATAAAAGTAATTAGGTTCTACTGCAAGCATACTCTGATACAGGATTGTTCTAAACAGAATGCAGACTTCAGGCTTTGTGAATATCCATCACTATCCCCTGCAGCAGTAGCTCTATTAGCCAGACCTATACCCCTCTAGTACCTACCCCCGGGGAGTCTGCTTTGATGGAGATCCTGAGGGGGACCTTCTCTGGTTCCTCTGTCTTCTCCACTCCCTTGTCTTTGGACTCGGTGGAGTTGGGACGATCCTCGGACCGCTTCTGTTTCAGGTGAGACATCTGTGATGATAAAATGTATCAGTTATAGCCGTATTGTTACTTTTCTTTAACTCTTTGGTAACAAGTATGTGTTTTTCAATATAAACTGACTTTATCTGAAATAAACACAACTACCCCTTCTTCCACTGTCCAAGAGGTTTTTAAATGAAAACATATTACAAAATCTCACTTCAAACTAGAACTGTCCACTAGGGACAAATACCCCCGCTGGGTTTTTCATAGTAGGTGCCAATTCAGAAATATTTTATGGATCTAGTAAGAGGTGTTCACTATTGTCTAATAAAGTGCCCCGCCACAGCATGATACGTCCATCAAATATTGTTCGATAATCATAAATTGGTTAGGGTGCAAGAAAATCAAGTAACCTTGATTAACAGATTGACACAGATTTCAATGATCTAATTTCCATTTCTTATCATGTTTAAAATATTGTACATACATCTCTAAGAGACTTACAGTGTAGGGATTAATTAAAACAAATAATACATCATATGATTCTAAACTGGCTGTGTTAGAGCTTAACAAATATCCATATGCAGCTTTAAATTGTTTATTGCATATTTTATGTTATTATGGAAATGCTACTTTCTAATAGAAAAAAATCAAATATTTATTATTCTTTAGACTATAAAATTCTAAGTGAGACATGACTGCAATTAGTTGCAAATATATAAAAATTGAAATGTAATTTTTTTTTCAATGAACACATGTATAATTAATTTTAATTATATTATACAATACTAATTCAGTTTTAATCATACACTAAAACATCAATTTGTTTTAATTACATTACACCAATTGAAAGATCTTTATCTGAACTACAGCCATCAAGAACTCTTAATTAACACAATTAAGCAACTATAAGGCCATTTCTTTTTGCCCAACTCCCAAGAGATGAATTAAGATAATACTGCATGGTGCTCTTGCCAGTTAACTCCTGACAATGAACTCATTAATTTCTCTCTAATTTGACATGCACATTTCTGCTATCAAAAATTCTCCTTGACCAGTGCTTGATAATTATGCCCATGGGACAAACTGAATTCCTCTCAAATCATTAACATTTGTTACAGAATTTGCTGTAAAGTATATGGTAAAAAATAAGTTTTTACTTAATTTAGCATTTTTTAATAAGGATACAACTATATTTTTACATTTTTTAGGATTATGAAATTTAAAATTTTAAAGACTTAGTTTTTTTTAAAAATTCACTTCAATAAAAGGTCAGTGACCTTGAAATAGGTCGGGACACACCGTCTACCCAAGATGCATAAATTGTCCAAGTTTGATGATTGTAAGTCTAATAGTTTTCTAGTTATGAGCCAAACAAAATCACAAAATAAAAAAGAAAAAATGCCTGTAAAATGCAGAAAAATCATCCAATCATGATGAAAATCCCAGGTGCACACCTTCATATGGTGAATAATAAGTGTATAAATTTTCAGACAAATCCATTTAACAGTTTCTGAGAAACGTCCGACAAAATCTTGTCTACAGACAGACGGACAGACAGACAGACGGACAGACGGACATGGTGATTCCAATATACCCCCCTAAACTTCGTTTGCGGGGGTATAATAATAACATAGCTACTGAGATTTTTACCAGTGTCTTGTGACTGTCAGTCAATGTCTCTATCACACCATCAATGACTGTGTCAGATATGTGGGCTGCCACTGCCAAGTTAATCTCGCTAAAGAGAAATATGTTAAATAATCATTGCATGATCACTGCAGACTACATACTCTGAAATCATCATTTTTCAGATTTTGAAGTACGGAGACCCAAAAATTTATGTCCACCACAAAGTGTAATTTTTCAAATAAATTACTACTCAGCTATTTTTCATTCCAATATTTTTTCTCAAATCACTAAAATTTTATCCCATGAAATGTGTAATTTTACATTAAATAAATTTAAAGAACACTATACTGATGGTGTAATATCTACCTAAGTTTGTTGTAGATGTCGGTTTCTACCCCATCCATCAGGTGTTTAGTGAAACCTTTAGGTAAAGAACTCCTCTCAGAACACCCAGACACTAACTCAAGCATAAAATCCTAAAAACATCAAAATATCAACCAATCAAAACAGACAATTTTTCAAATTGATCAATCATCTTATGCCATTCATTGTGGCAAAAAAAACTGACCTTATTTGAGGTGACTCCTGAGCATTGATTTCCTGTACACTCAATCATGTCTGTGACTGTTTTCTACGAGCAGAAAAAATATGGTTACTGACTAGAATCACTCTAATGATATCAAATGAAATACTTCATTTTATAACTGAACATTAGGCTAAATGATTCTATAGATGGGTTCTGATATGACAGCTACCTTCATTTGGGTCTGTAGAGTTTCCTTCAGATTATCACTCAGATATTTTAATTCAGTCTCCACTGGGTTTCCTGTGTCTATTGATTTCATGGCTATTCTTTGTAAATGAGGCAGCAGCTGGAAAATAAAATGAGAGAAGTTTTCCTATAGGCTTACATGTATAATAAAGAATACAAGATGTGTTTGTGAAACATTGATGCCCCTATACGCAGCTCAAGGCCAAAGGCAAACTTTTTTCAAATGTCATACTCCAAGGTCATATTCAAAAATGTCAAACCAAAAAGAAGGTGTTATCACAAGAAATACATTAGAGAAATATAAAAGCCTTAGCACCAATTATTTAAACGTTATAGACAAGCTTAAAGGTTTTATAGAATTAGTAGGTCAAACTCATTGGTAAAGGCCAGGTAAAAATGTTAGAAGCCAAAGAGAGGTCTTGTCACAAGGAAAACTGTGGATCACTAAATTTTTGCGACACCTTATTTTCGCGAGGTAGTCATTGACTCTTGATTAGCAAGATAAAATTTTCACGAATTGTGATTACTGCTCTATCTGATCTTAATGAATATTATTATTATACGCGAAAATTAAATTTTTGCGAGCACAGTGTCTTGCCAAATTACGCAAAAATAAAGTTCTCGCGAATAAAAAGTGATTTACAGTATGCATAAGATACGGTAAAATAACTATTATTCCCATTATACACCTTTTGATTTCTGTTGTGTAACTGACCTGCTTGGAATTGTCTGCGTCCTTAATGACACTGGTGGCCTGATCAATATCTGTCTGGAAGGCGTCCGTGGAGCCCAGACTGAGGGCGTTAACAGCGTCCTGTACCTGGACCACCAGGCGATCTACCATCTGAAAGAGAGAATTTAAATAAGTCATGACAATCAACATCCTAAAATAGATAGTAATCAATTACCATAGCTGTATTCATTGTGTATTTGTGCAGATCCACTGTTCACTATATATATCAAATAATCTAAAAATTGAAATTAAACCTGCATTTTTTTTGTATGAATCTTGATGTTTCTTAACTTTCCCATATTTGTTGCTCAAACATAACTAAAAAAAATTTTTGAATTTAAATTTCCCCTAAAAGTAAACAAATATGCCTTATTACAATTTCAAGATCACAGCCTCAGCCGTATGCTTTTTTATTGACAAATATATGTATGGGCATCATATGTTTCTTCATTGCAAACCTGTTGCTAAAAACAATTTATACAGTGGAAATAAGTTGGATTGCATGAGGTATCAAAAGCAAAGGTTCCCAGAGAATGAACAAATCACAGTTACCAGGTATACAGGGGTAAATGAGACATCACTGCCATTCTGCCAACATAAAGCTAGGTAACTTGCTGAGGGAGATGTAATGGCCAAAATTGAGGACTTACATTTGGAATGATGTTAGATGATGCGGTCCTCACATGCAAAAACTAACAACATACATGTGCATGTAGATAAAAAAAATGCAACCCAAAAGAATTAAACTTCAATATTTACACATAGTTACTTTAATCATTTCTAAGGGTTTTTTTTCAGAAATGATAAGATGATTATGTGGTTTGCGCTGAGCAAGAACATTTTGTTTTTTATTATAAATCATGTCAAACCATTTTTGATTTTCACTTTATTTTTCAGCACTAGACAAACTGGAGTGCTTCTGGGGGTCGGAAGCAAATTCCTTGTGGGAACACATCCCTACACTACACCTGTCAAGCTGTTATATGTCCAAGTAATATACTTTATGTGAAAAACTGTTGCAAATGCCGTTATCTGTCTGTGTGTGCTAGGTACAGAGTACATTACCTGTTGTGTAAAACTGATGAGGAAATCTGTCTATGTGTGATGGGTACAGGGTATTTTACCTGTTGTGTAGAACTAATGAGGAACCCCTGTTATCTGTATATCAGTGATAGGTTCAGAGTACATTACCTGTTGTGTAGAACTGATGAGGAACCCTTGCTGTAGTCTATAAGCCTGGTCGGAGGAAAATTTCTGTGGGCTGTGATTCCTCTGTAGTAAACTCTCTATCTGTAACACAAGATATAAACTCAGCAACAACACTTACAAGATACTTTACAATCATTTTCATTGCAAATATATTGCCAGGCATCTTACACCAGAGCAGTTTTAGAAATAAACAAATTCTACAGTCTAGTATTAGTAACAACACATATTCATCAATATTTGAAGCTACAAACACCAGTGCTTTCAACATCTGTAAGGTAAGAAACTCTGTCCAGACAATCTGTCAATTACAATACTTTGGTCAATCTTACTTTCTGAAGGGCTGCCTCAGTTCTCTCCCCTTGTTTCTGGAGTGCTACAGATGCATCATTTATTGGCATGGGCATTTTTCTTAAGGCGTAATTCCTATGAAAGAAAATATATTACAATAAAAAATCTAATTTTCTTCCCAAAAGTATGTTCTATTATGAGGTAGTTTTCTTTGTACAAAAATACTCAATAGTTTTTGCCCTACCGTAAATGTATATAGGCACATACATTTTTGTTTGACAACTATATGAGTCATTTTCAAAAAATGTCCAAATTCCACCACCAGAATTTTGCAAAAATAAATGCGGCGATCTAAACTTTTTAAAGTTTTATTTTAGCATTGAAACATCAGAGATGCATAAACCATGTTAAAGCACAAAGAATTCTATTATCATATACTAAAAAAAACATCATATGTACCTGGACCCAACAATAAATGTCCATGGAGTTACTTAGTTAAAAGTCGTAGTAAAATCATAACTTACAAAAAAAATTAAGGTTTTTAGAATAACAATCTCAACATCTTGATAGAATTATTCTTTTGAATCAAACTGAGGTTTCATAACAGAAAATTATCAGATAAAGTAAAGCTGGAAGTTGTAAGAGTTGTAACTTTTGTCTATATCTTACACGTTTACTTAAGGCATACATCATTTACCTCAGCACAAAATACTTGCTTTGCATATAAACTTAGTATTAGAAAACGACAGTATTGTGTTGCAAGTTTCGATAAAATTGTATAAAGATTTAGAACATAAATATAGAAAAAATGTGTTGGTAACACCAAGGATATTTGAATAACACAAAGGACATAAAGGTAACACTAAGGATATTTTGTGCAATACTTAGAAAGAAAATAATAAACTCGTTCCCCTTCCTTCCAAAAAGGATAGTAATGAAATTACCCTAGAGGTGAATATAAGAGTATATGGTTTTAAGATAAAAAAATGGCGGGGGATTTCTTTCATTATACATTTTGAGTCTGACTAGTAACACCAAGGATAAAACAGTAACAACATAGACATAGCTATCCAATCATAAAAATATATGATAATAGAAAAATGAAATCAAATTCTCATGCGCGAATAAAAAATGATTACTATCACATAACATTGAATAATTGATCAGTACTTGTTAGTGTATTTACATATCCCCGCAGAAGCTGTAACACCAATGACAAAAAATAACACAAAGGACATATTTAAAAGATCCAAAGGTTTACACAGATGAGTCTTAAATCAGCTAGAACAATTTTTAATGAAGAAAAAATTATGAAAATAGTACATGTATATGTATTTGTAAATGACCAGATTTCAAACATATAGAATGAATTAATCTTTTTATGGATTTTACATTTTCATTTCATTTATCTACAGCTAGCCTCTTTCCACAATGAGCTCTCTATATAATACACATCTACAAGATATGATGGTGACAATATTATTAAAACATTAGCAATGCTATACCAGTTTTTATCTTTTACAGTTTTTGGCCTGTTTAAAAGGAACATGGTTTTAGGTTCTGTCTAACCCTGTGCATACATTTAAGTTCATTTTTTCGGTATCTTTATCCGATCTCTCTTCCAAGGGATCTGATTTCTCTTCATCTGTAGTCTGATGTTCATTATTGAACTCCAATTGTTTCCCTTCCAGGGTGTCAGTCTTTTCAGTTTCTTTAGTCGGATTTCCTATCAGGGACTCTTGAATTTTTTTAATCTGTACTTTTTTTCATTGATATTTTTCCGCCCTTTTTGCTCTTGTATCCACTGATAGTTTGCCAAACTTTCATTGTGAGTTCTTCATTGTAACAATCCAACAAAGTGGCTTGAAATGTAGTGGCCTGCCACCATATCTGGCTTTGTTGTTGTCCAATGCTGCCTCGACTATATGTGCTTCACCACCACTTTCTTTATTTTCAAAAGCTTATGTACATCCAAGGTTAAAAACTTCTATCAGCACCAACTTTTACAGGATGTAGAACACAGTCATGAGGGATTTCAAGTTGAACAAATCTGAAGCACATCCTCAACAGTATGCAAAACTGTATTTTAGGGTAATGAATGATAAATTGTCTCCTTAAAACATCTTTTGAAATCCTTTTAGAACATTTATGAACAATTTGTGACTAGTTCATCTATGGGTTTACATCATTAAAGGACTTTTAATGCATTTGCAAAGAAATGTTCCGTATCTGATATAACTTTAAAAGTATTTGCATGCAATTCAGTGATATAAATCTATCTTTTACGTCTTAGATTCTATTGGCTTCATTGCAACTTTTTGATGTGTTGTGTTTACATCATCTTCATCAAGAGAACATAACCAGAATCCTCAGACTGCAGAAAACAAATCATACTCTGCCTTATTTCGTCTTCCCTTGTGTTACCTAAAACTTCCTTTGTGTTACCATTTTTAACCATCATTTATTTTTAGCAATTCATTATTTTATTGTTACTAGAATTGCAATATCCCACCACATTTGTTTTCTGCTATCCAGTGAACACAATTACCAGTCCATATGCAGTACGCCTGTTTTATTTTTCTATCTTTAATCCTTGCTGTGTCCCTTGAGTAACTGAATTTGTCTATGGTGTTACCATAGGTTACTATTAAAGAGCATAAAAGGGGATATGATTGTATTACATAATAAATTTTAATATTTCAATTTATTCAAAAGGAATAAAAGTTGTATATTTTACCACAGAAACAAAGGAACATGCAAGAGTATATTAATAACATAAATATCTAATCCTTTTTACGTCCATTGTGTTTACCAAACCTTGTCCTTTGTGTTGCTCAAATTATTTATTGAATTAATTTATAGCTCATGGAAACATAATATAAAAAATAAATGCCAATTCGATAAAAATATTTCTGATATTTTATATTGCAATAAACTTTACACAAATTTTGTATTAAAATTGGCAAACTAAAGGGTTTTTTTGTTCAATTGGTCCGCGGAGTTACCCAATTCTGTCCTTTGCATAACCAAGACTGCAAAATCATAGGATTTTCAAATGGTAAAAAAACATTTAGTAAATAATTTGGCATTTTAAAGAAAATTAGTTACTTATTAGTTTTAAATAAGGGAGGAAAATAAAACATATGACTCCAACTTGCATTCTTTTTAATTATTTTCTATGTAAATTGTCCATGGAGCAATTAGATACGTCCTTGGAGTAACTTTTCTTGCAGTAACAAAATGGACAGTAACACCGGGGAATTATTATATCAATAATTGGAAGTATAAAAGCAATAGCTGACTCATGAACATAAATCATAACTCCTAGAAGATAGGTATTTTGTTATAAACTTGCTCAATGCATCAAAGAAATGGTAAATTACTCTATCATCACAATATCTAAGTAACACTTAGGACACAAAAATAAAATACTATTGCACTCAAACTTGCCTTCAACCACATATTGCGCCTATGGTGAAAAAGATCAGTGTTTAGAATCTCATGATATTTTGGCAGGAACAAGATCAAAAGAAGGAGGCTGATAGAGAAGAGTTTCTTTATGAAAGATAACTGTTACAGATAACTTTTATGTCCTGGTTACTCCAAGGACACGGCAAAAATAACACACACTTACCATTAAAAAAATCATATTCTTACTCTTTTTCAATCACATTTTAGCATGCATTTAGACAGTATCAAACATGTGTAATACAATAAAGGTCATTTTACACTGCCTAATTATATTCAATACATCAATAATCAGAGTTGAAGTCAAACATCTGGCGAAATCACAAGCAATTCTCTTTAATTTAACGCAGGTTGAAGGACTTTTTTCGGTATTCAAGTCAATTTTTAATCCGTACTTATTTTTTTTCTACACTTATTGATTGTTGTTAAATTCCTCAGGTAAAAAAAAATTGTGATTTTATTGCAATATTTTCAAAAAATCCTGTATAACAGGAATTTGGACATTTTTTGAAAATGACCCATATACATGTATAGATACTATGATATTAAAATTATAGATGAAATATGTAACTGGAGAGAGTAAAAGTTGAAATAGACTTGTATAAAGATTTAATTTTCAAAAGGAGGAAAATAATGTAAAATGTTCAATATCTCTAATAACAGTTATGTCCTTTTACAATTTAATATATAGATATTTAAAAAAATAAGAGGACTATATCAAAGGGACATGCTAACTTGCCTGTTTTTAACTCTCCTGTAATTAAGTTCTTAAAAATGAACATGTGTCACAATTTCCTTTTATAAATTTCTCCTACAGAACCATTTACATCTATAAAGGAATATTCAAAGTCTGGCAATTTGTATGCATTTAAACTACATGTACATGTACTACCTCGTAGGAAATATTTAACATATATCAAGCAGATACATTTGTTTCTGTCACAAGTCATGTAACATAGGCAACGCATGTCAAAATGTAAACTTTTTTTATCCAATCATTTAGGTTGTTAAAACCAGACTTAAACTTTTGAATTACACCTTCATGCTGCCATCGATTGCACAAGGAGAACTCACTTTTGTAAAGCTACAGCAATGTCCTCAAAGCCCTGTGCTGTGACTAAATTTTTGTCCCAGAGAATACACTTTAACTTGGAGTTAATCTGAAGGGCTTTACTGAGCATACGGGCCCCAAAGTCTCCAATCTGATTTCCACTGAAATAGTTAACATAACACAGTAATTAAAAATTTAATCTAATATTATATACAATGGTTTTAATCTAATTGCATTTTCTTAGAAGACACATTTGACTTAAATATTTGTAACTTTCCTATTTTGATATTTCAATCATATTAAAATAAATTTCTGCAAATACACATCGAATTCATTGAATTGATAAACAAGTCATTTTGGGGGGTAAATTTTGATAGTATTTACCAACATGTTTCAGCTTTAATAAAACAAATATATGTTAATATGAAATATCACAAGCAGATGGTCATCTGTAAATATACAAATACAAAATTCTTCAGAAAAATGGTTAATTCCTTTACCTGATGTCAATTTCTGTTAGGCTTACATTGCTGCCGAGAGCATTTATGATATCAGAGAGATTATTCCGAAGTCTGGAATCGGCCAGCGACAGAGATTCTATACACTAAAACAAAGAGTATAATACATGAAGGCATCTAATGATTAAGAATTTATACCCTAAACCAAGAAAATCTAGGAAAACTATTCCTACACTAACGGACAAAAGCGATACTATTCCTGCTCAAATAACAAGAGATTCAATTCCCCAAAACTTATCCATCTCTGTTTGTGAATACATGTACCAGAATAAAATGTAATAAACTCTTCAACATATAGAGATTTTTGCATAAAAAATCTACTCTAGTCATTTTAAAATAAAAGTCTTGCTTTTCCGAAGGTTTTGAAGAAAATATGAATAGTAAGCATGACGGACAGCAGATACTGAAATCTTGAATACCATGGATATGTCGCATCAATTTGTAAGTCCCTACCATCTATTCTTTAAGTTTTTCTTCATTGATATCTCAAATACATGGATCCCTCGAAATTTTTCATAAGTCCCACCAAGTTTGAGTTAACGAGGTTTGACTGTCATATTTTTTTATGCTGTGAAAAGTTTTTTCATACAATCCCTCAGATGATAATATTTGTCCCAAAGAACAAGACACTTACACAGGAATCGTCCTGAATGAGGTTTACAACTCCCTCCATTACCGCTGTCATATGTCTGGAAAATATCATCAATAAAATATTGATTCATAATTAAAAAATATAGTTAAAAATTGTCTACTTTCTGTCACATATTTAGCATGCAGCAGTTTCTTTTATTTACAACACATTTCTAACTGTGAGACAATACTATTGCACATATCCTACAATGATACTTACTTTGGTTTGATGTTGTCAAAGTTTTGTCCAATCGACAGAGTTCTGATACTTTTATTGCTCTTTATCCAGTCAAGTAAACTCACTATGGATTGGTTGAAATCTGAAAATTAAGTGTTTGAAAGTGTTTGAAAATACACAGAGAGAGATACCTTCTTTCCTATTTTTAGATTTTACCAAATAAATGCATAAATTGGGTTACCGATATTGATACTATTATTACTGATACATGAATTGGTGATAACTTACTATTATTACTAATATCCAGACTGGTGATACTGCTGATATTCCCAATACAACTCCCTAACACCTGTCCACCTTGTGACTGAAGGTCATTGCTGCTGAGGTCAAGGTGAAGGTCCTTGATGTGCATATTACAGGCTATTCCTAGAAGCATCTCCCTAAAAGGAAGTAAAACATTTAATCATGTTAATTGGAAGGTTTAAATCATTAAATGATTACACATACATTATATAACTGCTCTAGTTTATACAAAATAAATTGACTCAAAGGGATAGTTTTAATAAAGCTTCTATAATACGCTAAAGTATGCACAAGCATTTTTTAATGCCAGGGTGAAGTAAAATTTCATTAACTTCCATTTCCTTAACAATATAAAACTTTGAGGAAATAAACTTTTCTCTAACAAATTTAATGATATAATAAGTTTATAATTAAAATAGGAAAATATATTCAGTCGAATGTATAATTTGATCATTATTACATCTGTGAAACTCTCAACTATCACTTAATTCTAAAATATTAAAACTTTTGACACAAGTAAATTTCCCCATGTCCTACTTTAGAGCCTCTGGGGGTAATCTACATCCAGACATATCCAGACACTCCAGTCCGTAAACACTGGAGAAAAATGTCTTCCAGGTCCCCTGTACAATCACTTCTTTGGTTTTCTTGTGAGTAAACACATTCCTAGCCACTTTAAGATGAGTTAAGGAGGCACAACTTCCTCTTAATAAGGCTGCACACAGCTAAAGAAGAAATACACATAGTAGTTCGTTTTTAATTTAAAAACTTGACTACCATACAAAAATACCGCAAGACTTAGATACCATCTATGAAAAGTAACATAGAATTTCTAGGACAAATTATATAATTCTGTTGAGACAAATGAGAGAACACTATGTATTAAGCGTGTCTGTGTGTCTGTGGCCTCACCAGTTCTAAAGCACAGTCCGTTCCTGAGAGATCTAGAAAGGTGATGTTGTTTCCTTGGGCCAGAAAATTGTATAAACACTGAAAATAACAAGAGGCCCACGGGCCTTATAGGTCACCTGAGTATCATGTAACAACTTTCCAGCGATTGTATTTGGTTCGTGTTTTAAGCCAAAAGCCATGAAATTCACAAATTTTGAAAGAGGCACCATTGCTTATCAAAGGGCAGATTTCAAAGCATTAATTTATTTTTAGTCAAAGTACCCCCCTGGTACCCCTGACCCAGCAGCCTTGAAATTATCTATTTTGAAAGAGGCCCCTTTCTTCATTATAAAGCCAGCATTAGTTTTTAGCCGGGCTTATTTCTCAAAGAGCAATTACTGGCTTGTGTGATCCTGTTCAAGGCAGGATGTTGACCCCATAGTCGCCATTTTAAAGTTACGTGCAAAAATATAGTTCTTACTCTCAACTGCTTTTGAGATAATACAAACGCTAAATAAAGCAACAAAAATAAAACGAAGTTTTATCTATATAAAATAAACATTAGTAGTAATGACTTTGAAAACTTCATAAGTCAAAGAACATAGTTCATTAGCGTAAGGATTTTTGATAATCAGTGTTACCGTAGTTCTCTACACATACGAGGTAAAGGAGGAGAGGGAAACAGACTGGTCTGTTTGTTTACATTCAGCTGCGGTACCAGATTAATTCTGATTCTGACAAAATCGGACCGTGGTATTAGGATTGCAAAACTTACTGTCAGTGTCTTATCATTTATATTGATAGTTTTAAAATATTTTTTTCATCAGAATATAAAAGTGATTCATGTAAGAAATCCATTCTACTCTGTAAATGAGCCCGGCTCTCTGTACTTCTGAGTACTTTGATTATGTTTAGGTTTAGTTATGAACATGAGAATAAAAATGTTCCGAAGGAGAAGGAAATAAAATATTTTTTTTTTTGATAAATCAATTATTAACATTTCTACATTCTTTTTTATGCTTTCCTAATAGGCTCCTTACCACTGGATACATAATGCTTACAAATAGGAAAGTAGAACATTTAATTGCTTATTTCATCATCTGCCAGTTTGGGCCAGTTATATAAATTTTGTGATGTTGATCAAAGTATATTTTAAAAAATCAATTCTTTAAAAGTCTTTCAATATATCTTCATTTTTTAATATGTGTTAGGTGAATGTGTAGACATTGTTCTAAAATTTACTTGATGCCTAAAATTATAATTCCTATCATAAAACAGACAGGGAGTATTGGGAAGTAGAGTCAACATTTTTTCAATTAAGTGTAAAATAATTTTTCTGGCTGATACAAATGATACTACATGCCTGTATATATTTGTATATTCTTGCCTTTTAATAGTTGATTTTTTTTTTAATTTCTTCAGGTTATTATTTCTTCCTCAAATGGACTTCACTTCTCCCATAGTTTTATTCATTATATCTGATGCATAAGCAACCCTTTTCTGAAGAATGATGCTTAGACTGTAAGCTATAACAGAGACCTAAACAATGTCCCTGGCAATATGCAATAGCTACCACGGGCAGTTTAAAACATGGGGGAGGGAAAAAAAAATTACAGTTACTTTTGAAACGAATACATAATTATCTCACCAGCATGTCATTGTGCAACAAAGTCGTCAGCATTTTATTTGTCCTTTGAACGGGGGAAACGTTTTGAATGGTACTCTTATCGATGAATTTTACACTAAACCAAGCTATCTAGATCTAGCTTTATTTACCCGCTGTTTCAGAAAACCGGAAGTGCGAGTTCGTAAATTTGATATCTCGATCCCGACTCAAATTTGACATCGGAAAGAAAATTTTTTTTATTTTTTTCTCTGAAAATTCAAAATCTTGAGCGGAGGGTTTGTAAAACTGAATATAGAATAAATCCTGGCCTTCAATATGTAATTAGATCATTAGCATATTAACCAGGAGCAAAGGATAAGATGTTAAAAGAATTCATGCATTTCACTATATAATCATTAGAGCCCCACCCTAAAACAAGAACCCCTGACCCTGGGGCCATAAAATTCACAATTTTGGTAGAGGCACTCTTGCTCATCATAACTATGTACTTAGTTAGTTTATTTAATACCCAGGAGCAGAGAAGAAGATTTTCAAAGATTTCATGTATTTTCACTATATAACCAATAGAGCCCCGCCCTAACACCAGAACACCTGACCCTGGGTTCATAAAATTCACAATTTTGGTAGAGGCACTCTTGCTCATCATAACTATGTACTTAGTTGGTTTATTTAATACCCAGGAGCAGAGAAGAAGATTTTCAAAGAAATAATGCATTTTCACTACCTACTTATTTAGCCCCACCCTAGCACTAGAACCCCTGACCCCAGGGCCATGAATTTCACAATTTTGGTAGAGGACTCATTGCTGATTACAATCATCCACACAGTTTGACTGCTTGATGTCAAGGAGTAAAGAAGAAGATTTTTGAAGATTGCATTAATTTTAGTGGTTTTGGCCCCACCCCTCAGGCCCCAGGGGGGTAGGGATCATGAAATTCACAATTTTTGTTCCCCTTCACCCATAGATGCTTTGTGCCAAATTTGGTTGAAATTGGTTCAGTGGTTGCAGAGAAGAAGCTGAAAATGTTCAAATGTTAACGCACGACGCACGACGACAGACGAAAACGGATAGCAATAGGTCACCTGAGTTTACTCAGGTGACCTAAAAATCCAGCTTGTTACAAATGCAAACAGTATCCATATGTATTCATGAAAAAATCAAACATCTTGAAGTAAAAAAGCTATGTTCAAACTTAAATAAAAATTGCATCTCAACAACATGCAAAATTTTTATGTCAAGATTCAATGAATCCTACTTATGACTTACTTGTAAGTTAACCCCAATCCTACTTATGACTTACTTGTAAGTTAACCCAATCCTACTTATGACTTACTTGTAGGTCTTCTCCCTTGCTGGGATTTTCCGAGATGTTGAGAGAGTGCAGTGATTGGACGATGGATGGACTCTGTGACAGACTCTCACACACTCTATTGAGCCCCTTTCCCAGGACCTTTGTGTTAGAGATGTCCAGATGCACCAGTCCCCGAGACAGACTCTTTAGTGATCCAATAAAATGGACCAAAGCTGAAATATAAAGATTCTAGCTAGGAAGAATGAAAATACACAGAGGGCAATTTTTTTAAGACAAAGGTGAGGCAAGAAAGGGTCCAGAATATTTCTAGGATTGTTCTCATCATAAGCTACTATAACACTATAAGATAAAATATAAGAATGCACATAATTTACAATCATATTTTCAACATGTTTGTGAAAAAAACAATGTACATTATCCATGTAGTGGTGGCAAATTCTATGGGTGCTTTTCAAACTTGACATCTTAGATATATAACATATTCACATTATTCTTTACCTCAAAGAAAAAAATGTTTTCACTCTTTTCAAATGATGGATAAGTTATGATAAGGATTAAAGTATTTAAATGGACAGCCAAAAAATCTACTGTGTCACACTAGATGTCACAAAGTAAGAAAAGCATAGCTTACCTTTATCTTCTAATGAGTTCTTGGACAGATCAATTCTCTGTAGCTGGGAGGAACTGTTAGATAAAATGGCTGTTGCTAACTTCTGTACAAAATCTCTGAAAGAAAAAAAAATGTGCATAGATCCACAGATAAAAAAAGATGACATTTTTCAAATGGGATTTATATCATCAATTTGAATATTCTTTTCACATATCAACCCAATTGCTCCAATAACTTGCAGGGAGAAGAAAACCCTGCTGTATTCGTGAAATACTTTCCACACTTTTTACAGTTACATACACTGTGATTCCTGTAGAACTGAGGTCTAGTTCTTCTATCGTGTTGTTTCGCTTCATCACTTTCAAAATCTCACTCTGGGCATCTGAAGTCTGCAATATACAACAGACAGGGTATTCAATATCTACACAATTAATACTGTAAAAGTAAAAAAAGAGTACACTCAATATTTAGTGCTCTTCAACTGATAAGTGGAATCATAGAGTTAGTGCAACAAAGTATTTATGTTTAAGGTTCCATCACATACTTGCTTGTACATAAATAAGCAGTCAAGAAGCAGCATAAGAAGCACTAGATTATATTACCGTACTCAAAATATATAAAAAATAATTCTATTTTAAATACATGTTTACCCATCATCATCAAGGCTGATCTCAAAATATCAGAAATAAAACCTCTATTTTAAGAATTTTTATGCAGATACAATAGAACTACTGATGATGAATTTTCTATGTAGCTTTTCAGTAAGAAATAAGAAAAAATTTGTTTTCAGTAAACAGAGAAGACTTACAAGTTTGATTTTACAGGCTGTTAATTTTGTGAACCAGGTGTTGTTTTCTAGAGCACCAATAATAGGAACCAGATCCCTACAAAACAAATAGAGACATCAAGATGCTGAGTCTCACAGGTGAATCAGGTACCATTATAAAGAAAATTAATGATACTCAAGAACTCTTATAAATGTTAAAAATATAGTTATTGTAAAACATGTAGTAAACGTGATTATTATGAAGTGGTGTTTACTGTGAAGTGATTTCCATCCCCTGTGGGCTTAAACTATACAGTTTTAATACTTAACAGATATAATGAATTACTGGTACATATATAAAACATAGGTAATCAAAGATTACGAAGCTCACCTCAACGAACGTTATCAGTTTAAATAATGCAAATATCACATCATATTTTCTTAATAGTTAGTATTTATCCTGACATCAATATTGAAGCAAGTTCAGTTTAAGTAGGTTATAAAGTTCATTGGGGATTAACCTTGTTCCAAAAACTTTAACCTGGTCACTCATCTGGAAAATGTAGGTCAGATCCAGCATCCAAAGCAAGTCTGGTAGTGTCCATCCCTAGATGCATCATCCATGCAAGTTTAGACCAGGTAGGGCTTATAGTTACATGGGAATGGGCCTGCTCCAAAACTATAACCTGGTCACTCATCTGGAAAATGAAGGTCAGATCCAGCATCCAAAGCAGTCTGGTAGTGTCCATCCCTAGATGCCTCATCCACGCAAGTTTGGTCCAGGTAGGGCTCTTAGTTACTTGGGAATGGACCTGCTCCAAAAACTTTAACCTGGTCACTCATCTGGAAAATGTAGGTCAGATCCAGCATCTGAAGCAAGTCTTGTAGTGTCCATCCAGATGCATCATCCATGCAAGTTTGGTCCAGGTAGGGCCTATAGTTACTTGGGAATGGACCTGCTCCTTAAACTTTAACCAGGAAGCCGATGCCAGGGGTATAGCATAAGCTCATCTCGACCTCGTCAAGGTGAGTAAAAAATCCAAATTATCTATTCTTAGCACTGTTTTCATCACGTTTCACTGTACAGTAGCCTACTACTCTGACATTGTTTATTCAAAATTACAGATGGCTACCGCTATCAGACAGCAATTGTTTTTCATTTTCTTTTAATATTGATGGTTCTTTTTCCTCTGTAAACCTATCTGTGAATGACTTCTATGCATTTTAAATCTATGTATGGATCATTTAGATCTCTGTAAGACTTACTTTAGATTTAAATGGTCAAAGTCTTGCAGATTTAGCTCCCTTGAGTCCTGTGATAAATATATGGTATCTACATCCTAAAAAAAAACAAGATTTCTGATTATAAAAAAATCTTTAGAGGACCAGATTCTAAATCTGTCAAATCTATGTTACGATCATTTTCTTCCCGTTTTTGACTTTCTTCAATGTTTGATTTTATACAATTTTTGTAGAGTGCTACTGCTCAGTATATTGAAGCAACCAAGAAATAACTGCCTCCTAGTAAAACACAACACATTTTTGATATATGACCAATTGATGTATGAACCCTTAACTAAGCAACCAATGTCAACATTTTAGTAAATGTGTCTCATTATAATCATGCCAACAGTTTGACTGCTGACCAAGAGTGAAAGAGCTCTTTGAAGATTGTATTAATTTTTATGTGCCACAACTATCAGGCCCAAGGTAGTGACCTAAAATATTATCATTCATAAAATCCTACAGAAAAAAGGTAACACAGAATTCGTGGCACTCCAGATTTATCATACTGCCCATCCCATCAAAATGGGAAAAAATAACTTCCTATAAGTCATACTTGTTCACATCATTTCAGTAAACCATCAATTGTTTTATTTTGTGTGTGTGTGTTTTTACTTTTTTTCCCAAAAATCTTATTTGAAATGATAATTGGTTTATAGCTATCAAGTTTTTGTGTGTGTATATGAACAAAACTTTCAACAAATAATATTCGACCCTCTTCTCCAACACTTCAAAAAATCTTCTGCTTTCAAGTTTCTTTCATTTAAGTACTTCCTCCAACAACCCAAAAGTACAGAACTACAGTACTAATTAAGTAACATATTATTAACTTACAGAGATGTATCTTGTACACAACACTCACTAGTACATAGTCATACTTGTCTCAAGGTCACAGTATCAAATTATATAACAGTTATATGAAGCTTTCCTCAGATGAATCTACAACTAATTCATAAAATAATTCTGAAATTTTAGTCCTGTTTAAGATAGTTCTTTATGGTACCTTTTAATAAAGATTCTGTGAAATTCTCATTACATTTCAGTGATATAGAAGGACTTGTGGATAAGAGATGGAAACTCCCAAATATTAAAGAAAGATTGGCAGTGTCAATGTTTTGCAATTGGAAACACAAATATGAAATACTATTATATAAAGATTCTGTGAAATTTTCATTAAAATGCATTTAGCAGTGAATTCTCCAAGTGTAAAGGATGAATATACACACTGAAACTTCCATTTTATATAACCTTTACTTTTCAAGCAGGTATAACAAAAAGCTCTATGAACTATAGATGTATTCTCGTTCTCTATGTCCAATTATATCAAAACTTCTCACAATATTGATGGTATGTTGGTCTGACATTGACTTGCAGTGGTTGGTGCTTGTTGTTTTGCAGTACATTAAGGGGAGGGGCACCAGCTATACCTACCCATGCCACCTCCTCTCTGTAGGCTGTGTTATGGTAGTCACACATACAGGCGTACATAATGGAGTACCCCCCACATGGACCCTGCTCTTTCTTTTCTATTTCCTTCATCAAGTCCTGCATTGGTCTAAGGCGGTCTGATGGCTGAACATCCATTTTCTTGATGAATCTTCTAAACTCATAGAAATGGAATAATGTTAAAAATGAAACTAATGGAAACTGAAGGCAACCACTCAGCCCCTTTAAGAAGTATATCCTTCAAATATCCATGTTTTAAGAAGTATATCCTTATCCATGCCTCTTTTCTATTTCATTCAGTGTGTCAACTGAAAGTAAGCAGCCTAATTTCAATATAGATGATATGGTCATTGATTACGAATATCTGAAAGCTCTGAATTAGGAAAACTCCTAAATAAGGTTTCCTATTGACATTAAGACTGTATTTACTTATCATAATTCCACTGTATTAATCCCCTCTGTAAGGTTTTATCCTTTACTTACTCTATAGGAAATACTGGGAAGATGTTTTTCAGGGACCTGCCGATGTGTGTAATCATGAGATCAAAGTCATCGGAATCGGGGTCCAGCGTAACCAGGGAGATTGGTTTGCCATCTGTTACACTGATTGTCAGCTGTCAAATAGAGTATACTCATTATACATGATAACCTTCACATTCAGAATCATTGAGGAATGTATCCAATATAGAATTTAGAATTCCACCACTGAGTCTACAAATCATTTATGAATGAAAGTCATCAATAAAATTACTGTTTATAATGAACTTTTCCAACCATTTTTTAGGGGGGTGGGGGGTGGGGGTTAGATATTCAGAAAATATTTAAGTTGTATTAAAGTCATTGTTACAGTAAATCTACAGGGAGATGCCAAAAATCTGTTTTCCATTAATTCATGAAATAATAAATATCTACTGATTCTCTGGCAACTCATTTCCTTCCTCAATTAAATAAAATACTCTTCTTTATTATATACTATATAATATATTATACATGTACTGTAATTTGCTTAATGAGCTGGAAAAAATACATGCAGGCACAATGCAGCACTTGTTACAAATCAACCCATTTTCCTGTGACCTTGTGATCATAAAATTTACCACTATATAGCCAACCTTATGAATCTCTTAACAATGAAGCACTCATTTATTACATCACTTTCTAATTCCATTAATTTTTCAACAAATACATGTCATTTTATCATGCTGCCAATACTATATTCATATAATTATATCTAATTCTTTTACCTGATTTTTCTTTTTGCTTTCTATGCCTTGAATGTCTAAAAAGCTGAAATCTTGATCCACCTAGAAAATGAAACAATTAAAAGTTTATTCTCAGAATTACCAAAATAAAATAGAACCTCTTAACTGATATTAATTGTCAGTAACATACAAAAACATCTGTAGGAAACAACTGCTATCAGAGAGCACATATAGTTCAGAAATTCTTGCATACAATAAGCTTTAATATATAAATAGCTATACACAAATTTTCCACTTTTCTCTAGTATACTAAACATGCATACACTACAGATCAATAAAACACACTAGAATTTGAAAATCAAATAGGTCTGCATATCTGTACAGTGTACAGTTTTATACATGAATTTTTAAGGATCTTCAGACTGAAATGAGGGGGGTGGGATGGGATGGGGGGTCACTTGGTTTTGAATGTTGGCCTATTGCATGCAGTGTAATCTATAATCATGACAATGGTTCCTATTGTAGATGGAATTTTTGGCCTCATTTGAACGATTTTGTCCTTTCTCTCTGTAAACATATGGAGTTAAGCTGAGAAAGAACACTGCTCTCCAGTAAAATGACAGTTTGAAAATAACACACAGCAAAGACAATTTGTTTAAATGGACTTATGACAAAAATAACACAAAGGCTAAAATTTCCTGTTCACAATAATTTTTATCATTTGTTTTAGTATATGTGTCAACCTGAAGACATACAAAATTAAAAAAAATTGATAGCCTTAAATATTTTTTAAATTACCTCTCTCTATGAACTAACTTCCAGTGTGGGAGGAAATTCTGACGATTAATTCACCTGATGGGGAACATCCCTCCCCTTAAGAAACCAATGATTAAATGTAAAACAATTCTTTATCTCTATTGGTGTAATGAATCGTAAGTTTATCTTCCAGGGAAGCTACTTCCTGCTGAAATAAATGACCTTCAAGGAAATCTTAATTATAGCCTCTACCCTTAATCACGGAATAACGAGAAAATTGTCCAGAAAAATAAATAAAACACTATCGAGGAGTATTTCCTAGTAGTTTTTACTGACTGGTAACGAAGGAATCTGGTACGTTTAACAATTTGATCTCCCTATATATACACATTGTTACTATCTGCCTTAAATATGTGAATCATGTATACAGACTCCCTGTGAGTTTAGAGACTGTGATATCCCTGATAAAAATAAAATCAAATTTTCTGTTAATGCCTTAGAGATGGAAGACAGACATGACAGTCATATACCTTGGTAGGTGTCTTCACAATAAACAGGAACAACCTGCATCCCGTCAGGCCCTGAAACAGATAAAAAGAACAGTAGTTAATACAACAATTAAAAAATCAGGGAATGCATTAGCAGCTGAAAGTGAAGTTGGAACAGGTATATGTGAACTTAAGTTTCATGGGCAATTTCAAAGTTTCGGTGATGTCATAATTGTCAGTCTGTGATACTAAATCATCAACAAAAGTATTTGCTCCAGACTTTGAATTTATACCTATTGCTTTTCTTGTCCCCTGCTATCAATCAAAGTTGGGGACATTAATTTGGATCGATCTGTCTCTCCGTTATTGTCCATCCATCTGTCGAGCTGTCTGTCTGTCTGTAACACATTTGTTTCCGCACAATATCTCAGGAAGCCTTTGAGCTTTTGCAATGAATTTTACATAACAACTCCATGTGGCCTAAGGAAGACCCCTTTTGACTTTGAGGTCAAAAGGTCAAAGGTCAAGGTCATCGTTTAATAGATTCTGACTGTTTTAACACTTTCCTTCCTGTGAGATATCTTGAAAAGCCTTTGAGCTTTTGCAATGAAATTTTTTACCATAACTCCCTTTGGCCCAAAGAAGACACCTATTGACTTTGAGTTCAAAAGGTCAAAAATTTAAACATTTTCTTTGTGTGTAAAACTTTCATTTCCAAGCAAATTACAAAGATTGAAGCTTTTCAGCTTTTGCAATGAATTTAACTCCCTTTGGCCCTTCCCACCCCTCTCAAAGTGTCTCATCTCTCCACCAACCACCGTTTGACCCAGTGTTATTTTATATTTCTAAATATATACTACATACAGGACATAGTGTGCAGAAGAGAAATAACTCGTTAAATCCCCTTGTATGATATAATGATTACTCAGCCTTATAGTTCATCGTTATGAAAACTACTGTTGAATGTTGACTACCTGGTACATAGCAATACAGTGAAAAAAAAAATCATTCTTTAATATTTTTAACCAGCTTAATACAGTTGAACAATATCTAAAATAGTGTATCATGGATATGGCAGAGAGTAAGAACTTACAAGTTTCAACCACTTTTTCTTTTTTTAGTTTAACCTTCGTATATATCTCGCATATTCTAAGGCATCTCATCGTTTTTTCTTGGCCACATCAATGTCAAAATAATGAGGTTTGACTGTAATGCAATGTGTATGTTTTATCTATAATTTCTATATCAGTAAAACCTAATTCTACCTTCATAACCAAATTACATCTTGTATAATATTATAATCTATATGGCTATCATTGCTCTGCCAGTATATCTATTAATTAAGAAAAGACTAGGAGGCAATGGTAGTCACTCTGCATCTGTGTTTTATAATACTCTTTAGTAAACAACTTAATTATTTACTTTTTATCACATCTTTGGCCTTGACCTTCTGCCTCTTTCATCCTTAAACAAGTTGACATGCTTTTGCTGTCATACAGCTATCATTTCACTTTATAGCAAAATCAATCTGTTTATTTTGTACATAGCACTTTTACAAACTTAGAGTGAATTTACATTGTCCTTAGACCTAAAAGGCTACAAATAAGAGGCAAGTTCCTCAGTTCAACAACCATAAGGAGTCTATCACAATTTTGAGAATTTATGCATTAGGCCTAAATAACTAAAATTTATAACATAATCCTATCACAAACCACCAAATTTTCATGGGCACCTTTAAATCTAAACTATTCACATTATATTACCAAAGTTACAAGTACAACTTTATGGGCAAATATAAGTATGAACTATTCTGATTATATACTAACAAAGCTATAAGTACAGACTTTATGTACTGTACATATAAGTCAAGTAGGAAGTGAAATTCCCAATCAAAATAATATTTAACATTTTCTTCCTTAAAAGATACAGCTTGAAAGTAAATACTGTTTATGGTAAAATAAATGCAAGTTGTTTGAAATAAAACAGGAAATAAATTCCTAATGTAATTTTTAGGGGGGTTGGGAAATGATGCAGGAATAGGTGCAGGTATACTATCAGTTAATATACATGTATGTGTACCTGAAACACTGGAAATGTGTATTAATTTTACTACAATAGGATAAAAACTTAAAATACAAATGTTTTGAATTTTTTGTTTATCCAGATTTTAGATTCTATACCATCACACAAGGCTTATCTTATCTATGGCCAGTAGAGAGGTTCATTAAAATGTGGAAGAAACAGCCAGTAATAGCCGTGTACCATGTAACCTTTACATAAAAACATCCTACTTCAAAGACTCCATGACCAATTCATTACTTGAATATGCATGATAATCACGATTCATTATATACTCAGTTCACAGTGATTATTACATGTACGTGATACTGGTAAATTAAAAAATCTACAAACACAGAAGGGGCAGCTCTAAAAAACAGTTCTTTGATCATTACAATTCAATTCCAAAAGCAATTTGGATGCAATGCTTTAAAATCAAGTTTTTTTCCTCCTACATGTATACATTTTTTATGTTTCTGAACATATTTTTATGATAGACAATATGTCAAAAGGATTGGACACATGTTTCAAAAACTTGGATCGTCCTCTTCCCGACGAAAATGTCACACAGAATGTAGGTTTGCTCTCCATTACAGTACAAGGCACACAGAGAATATGTAGGGTCTATTACAGGCAGCACTTGACTGCGTTTAATGAGCTAGCAATTTACTGAGAGTGCACTTACTCAGGATCAGCAGACATCAAACCATCAATTAGTGCACCACAAAATTTCTGGCTTGCTAAATATTTATTTAATCTTGTAGATGACTAAATATATTCTGACAGTAAAATGAATTTCAAATCTAAATATCAAATCAAATTAAAGAATCCAGAAGAACAAGAGATGTTTGTAAAACACTTATGCCCCCCTCCCCCACAAATTGGAATTTTTTAAAGTCCAAAAGGGCATAACTCTGTCAAAAATGGTGTGATCATACCCAAAACATGACCTAGATATTCATCTGACTAATTTGTATACTTAATTCCATTTCAATATGTGCAACCTCTCAAAAAAAAAAAAAATGAACGGAAACTGCAAATTATTGGAATTTTTCTAAGTCCAAGGGGCATAACTCTGCAATTATGGTGTGATCATACCCAAAACAGAACTTGACCTAGATATTCATCTGACTAATTTGTATACTTAATTCCATTTCAATATGTGCAATCTCTCAAAAGAAAATGAACGGAAACTGCAAATTATTGGAATTTTTCAAAGTCTAAGTGGCATAACTCTGTCAATTATGGTGCGATCGTACCCAAAACAGAACTTGACCTAGAAATTCATCTAATATACCTGTATACTAAATTCCATTTCAATATGTGCAACCTCTCCAAAGAAAATGAACAGAAACTGCAAAAATTTGGAATTTTTCTAAGTCCAAGGGGCATAACTCTGTCAATTATGGTGCGATCATACCCAAAACAGAACTTGACCTAGATATTCATCTGATATACCTGTATACTAAATTCCATTTCAATATGTGCAACCTCTCCAAAGAAAATGAACGGAAACTGCAAAATATGGAATTTTTCTAGGTCCAAGGGGCATAACTCTGTCAATTATGGTGCGATCGTACCCAAAACAGAACTTGACCTAGATATTCATCTGATATACCTGTACACCAAATTTCATTTCAGTATGAATAACGGTTATGAAGAAAATGAACGGAAACTAAATGGACCGACAGACCGACAGACAGCAGCAAAGCAATATGCCCTCCCTTCTTCGAAGGGGGGCATAAAAAGTGAAATCAAAGTTGTGCTGCTTGAACTTAAAAGTTTCTAGAAGTTGATGCCATTAAATCTACATTTATTTATAAAAAAAAAAATGTGTACAGTTACTACATGTTCTAAGATCATTGGCAACAATGCCTAGAGTATTTTTTCTCCTCTTTCTTTTCTTTTGTAAGACTGAGTCTTTCCAACCTTTGAGAGACCTAACACAACTTAAGGTAATACGGGAATGCAAATGAGTGGATGTAAGCCAGACAAATGGCTTGTTCTAGAACTGAATCCACAATCTGGACTGATGAGATTCAATCCCTAAGGTTAATCAAGGTTGCCATCTAAATGGACCAGACACCCCAAAGCCAGAATAGATAATTCTCTATATACTTACAACGATCTTCCTCTCGAATTTATCTGGCCTAACTTCATGCTTCACCATAAACTTCTGATACAGGGTGACATTCTTGCCCAGGACTTCTCGGATACTGTCTGAAAAACAATCACAGAAAAATCATAATCCAAATAAATCCATATAACTTTGAGACGAAGTCTTATATTTTTTTTTAATTTTAAAACCCCTACTATTATACACCAGCTCATCAGGTGTATGACTATGTCTGTCCATTCTAGATTATAAAACTGTCTTATAATAAGAAAAAAAGTTACGGATCAAATTACTCTAATTGTAGAAAATATGCTGTGTAGGGGTGCTATGTGCATGTACAATGTATTCGGATTAAAACTAAAAAAGGAAGTAAAGATCTCTTTCATAATAAGATATCAAATACCTGCTCATGTATATTTTTAATTTATGCAAAACTTTAATTCTTGTTCTAATCTAGTCCCAAAAACATGAAAATGTCCTTTAAGCTTGTGTGTAAAATGGGACATCTCCATGTCTCTAAAAGACATATTAGTGGTGCTCAACTAGCGGTCTCTATGATGCAGACAGTCCATGTAAATATATATAATTCATTCTCTCTAAATTCATTGACTGCAATTTCATCTTAAGACTTATATAAGACAAACAAAAACAAAGTTTTAACAAATTAATGGGAAATCTTAGAGAAATGCTAGTCTACATATAGTTATTTATAAAAGGAAAAGTCTGGCCTAAGCCCCCTTTTTGGCTTCTAGTTTTTGGTATCTCTTAGAATGGTGCAATATAGGTCATAATTGAAATCTGTTGATATCATTGTTACAAAATTAGTATTGATTCAATATAAGTAATAGCTAGGATACATAGAGGTCACAGGAACATCAGAAAGGTCACAAAATTTGTCAGTTTCCAAATTTTTTAATTTTCATTTAATTTTTAATCAATTTTAAATACAATTTTTTTTCTTCAGAAAATGCACATATTTATACATTATTGATCTGATCTTGCCCATTTTACTAAATCAGATTTGTATGTGCTGGGTTGCCCCCCCCCCTCCATCTTCTCCCTTCCTTGCACCTCTTCAGAGTTTCTCTTCCATCCCTCAATCATGATCACCTGACATAGGTGTTAAAGTCTTCTAAAAATAGAGACTAGGAAGTAACGTACGTCTAGACAACTATGTCAAAAGACCATAGGATGTACCGTAGTTTGATTAATATTTTAATAGGTGACATGCATGACAAAATTAGAAAGAAAACCAGAGGCCCATGGGAAACAACTCTCATCTTGTTCACTATTACCTTCCTAACAAATGGGTTCTAATTACAACTAGTAAACAACTGAAACTAAATTAAAGACAATAAAGTCCACGGTGTCAACAATTTCACTAAATTTACATTATACTAGCTGAGATTAATCATATGTCAGCTTCATAAATTGTGACTGCCTTCTTCATTTTATTTCTGCATTATAAACATAAAGATACTTTTTTCTATGACAATTTTGCATTGTCAATATAACTTTAAAAAAAAAATCTATAATCTATTTACTTCTTGAAAGGTATTCATTTTACATTTTGTATATAGTAATAATTTCTTTCTTTCTTTCTTTTTTTAGGCAAATTCTTTGCAATGATTTCACCATCACTGGAGAAGTCTTAAAGAAATCAAGAATTTTATCCTGGTACAATAAAAACTTTATATCAAAAGCAAAATTTATCTTAATTAATCCATAATTGCTGATCATTTTGTGCTTGACAATATTTCCTATAACAAAAATAAATTGAATAATTTTATCAATATTTCAATTTCCTTATAATGATATATTTCATAATTCCTTTTGCTAATGAACTTCATTGTTTTAGTGTGTATGTGTTAACTGTCCATGCAACTTTTCAGTCAGTACACTATACATGAGTGTGCATGTATTCACTAATTTAAATTTTCTATTTTGTGTAATTTAAATCAGCTTAAAGAGGGTGAGCTTGCAGTCAATAAAGTCAGACATAAAAATAAATAAACACTGACCATTGTGAAACATTTGTCATTTTTAGGAGATCTAGCAGCAGAAAAACAATTTTAAATTAACAGAGAACATGCAAGGTCAACCCTCGTCAATTGTAGGTCTTACAAAAGTTGAACAGCAAGAAAACCATATCCAGTGGAATCATTTAAATTTATGGGGTCAATGCTCATGGGAAATCAAAATTTTCTTGGTTCATGAGGACATAATTTCATGAGTAACTTGTATATACTGGTACAGAAGATTTAACAAATAAATATGTTGACAAAATAATTGTTCATGTGATGTAAATGTGTGGATAAGGGTGATCCACAAATATTGATCCCACATGAACAATGATGATAACACTAAACACAGTCAGCCTTGGTTAACCTTAGGAGATCTAACATCAGTTGAAGAGCCAGGGGACACACACTAACCACTGTTAGGTTTGGTTAATCTTACATCAGATGTCTAAAAGAGGTTGAAGAGCCTGAAGAAGCTTCTAACACTATACACGGCCAGCTTGCTTCATCTTCTCTTTAGTCAGTACAGTGTGTCCTCTAGACTGGTATCTGTCGTACACAGACAGAATGAAATTTATCTTGGTATTAGCAGAATAATATAAAGATCCAATAAATTAATCCCCTCCAAAAGACATCCATCATGAATAGGAAACAAATTTCTGTCCTGTTTTATCCATTATTTACATAAACCAGTTATCATAAACGGGATAAGGAAGAACATTATTGATGCATGCTCTACATTTATTGAATATTTACGAACATGTGTTTATTGTTCATTTTGGTTGTTTTGTTTTTTTGTTTTGGTTTTTTTTTTCATTTTTTCTTTTTACATAATTTATTTATTTAATTTTATGCAAGGAAGGTCTTTATAGCTGCACCTCATTTTTCAATCAATAAATGCATTTAATCTACAAATTCTCAATTTAAACATATTTAATTAGTACATGTATTGATCACAAATTCTCGTTCAGCTAAAGGTGATCAAGAGATGGCTCAATCAAGATATCTTTCTATTGTTTATTATTCTGAAAATGGATGATGGAATACCTGAAAATGCATCCAAGCTCAACATAGAAGGAGAGACAGATTTCCGTGGTTTCGATTCCAGTTTTTTATCTAAACTTTCAATAGTTATCGTAGACACACGTGGCATTTGCCCTGCATTTTCTACTTGCATTGATCTCCTTTTTCTGGGTGGAGCAACTGGCATTGCAGACTCCATTTCAGACAACAGTACCTGTTTTACTAACAACCCATCACCAACTTTAAACACACATCTTCCATTTAAAATATGTCTCCGCTTAACTATAGTCTATACATCCTTCTTTCATCCAACGTTTTAATATAATAATATATAATCTTTTTCCTGGTAAACCCCTCAATGGACCACTTACACAACCTTGTTTGCCAATGGGCTTAAATTTTACTACTCATAAACAAAAGACAATAAGTGTGCTATTTTAAACTGGTACGAGTTTTTTAAAGTGATTCCATAGCTATTTCTTTTTCGGAAGCTACAGAAAGATGCTTTTCCGGTTGAAACCTCTAGCCTAGTCACAACAAAACAATTTTCACTTGTCAGCTGTTTCCCTTCAAGTGATGGAGGGCAATGTTTACATTTAAATTCGACTGCTTAGATCTAAATTATGAATTGGCTTACCTTTTATTTCTTGTGGAATTTTTGAACTCGATGTCATTTTAAACAGAACATCGATCTCTCATTAATTGTTTTATGTGGGTGAGCTGTGTGTAGAGAAATTATTACGGATGTGTCTTCGTCTGTCATGAATACGGAAGCAGGGGAGGGATTCTATGCCGCCATTGCAAATACGGAAATGATGTCATGAAGTTACAAAGTGAAACTAGAGATGTAGGCTGTAGCGACTACCACTTCACGGCGAATTTTTAACTTAAACTGGATAATCAATGCGATATGCTTTACTAGATATATTAATTATTGCGATTTACTGTATCTCCTTTTACTGCACTTAACCAGTATGTTCGATTGAGGAAGTCGTGGCTTTCCAGGAAGAAAAACTCCAGTAATAAATATTGGCATCATGTAATATGTGGATTGGATCCTCTTTGAAGACGCTAAAGGCCAACTAATAATAGAATATCTATAACGTATTATATTGTATGAAAAATGAGATGGCGTTTCCGTCATCAGATTTCTTTGTTGATGTAGAAATTTCTGCTCTCACAACTTATTCATATCCCTGAATACTCAAGAACATGTTTATGGACATGATTAAAATATCTGCCCTCCCAACTTAATCCTACCTAAATTATTCATATCTGAATACTCCAGAACATGTCTATGGATATGATGAAATTATTAAACTTATGAATGCAGACTTCTGATAAATAAGTCGATGAAAAGACCACATGGGCCAATTCACTTACAACGAAATCTTTTGACAAAGGAGATCACCTCAACTTTAATTTCCATAAATCGATCTGCCATCATCAGTTTTCCATGTTGATGTAGAAAATTCTGCCCCCAATTATGTGAACTTATTCATGAAAACTCATGTTTGAGAAAATGATAAAATTTTTAAACTGATGCAGAATACTGATAACTAAGTTGACTTTACAAGAACTTCGATATTTTTATTTCAAGCCAGTATTTCATAAATTCTGCTGTCAAATCATGCTGACCTTGGTAGCAAAAACAACCCTTCATTGAAACATATTTCACAGTTTGTTAAGCTGATTTTTACATTTAAGTCTAACTACAGTGCATTTCACCTACATGTACCTAATCAATGCCTATGGCTTAAAGTAGGTCAGTTGAGGTGCTTTCTCCTCCAAGGCATCTAATCTTTAAATACCTCTGGATTTTTTTGGTCATATTTTATGCCCCGTTCCCAGATTTGTAATGTGTGTGTGCTCACTGCTCAGTGTCTTCATTTTTCATGTCCTTGATTGTCACAATTATCATTAAACATGGATTTAAGTAAAACTAACAAAACGGTCCCAGTATTTGTAAATATGATAAAACCAGAAGCTAGTCTCCTTCCCTGTAGAGTACCGTAGAATTACAGTAAAATTTGTTTAGTGCGAACACAGATATTGTGAATTCACAGATATAGCAAAGTTATCTTGGATCCCCAGCTAAATAAATTTAATGAATTTCTTATACGGTTATAGTGAAATTAAAGATATAGCGAAGTAATTTTGAATTCATAGGTCCCAGTGACTTCGTTATGACCAAGTTTTGCTGTATGCATACATACTTCAACTATTTGTCTTGTTGCATACTCCGAATTTTTACTTTTAGATTCGGTGGTAACACCCTTTTTAATTTCCAGGTTGCCACTGGAACACAACTTAGTCTGTATAATTCCTAGTTGAAGGAACTAGACTGACTACAACTTACAACAATTTTCATCAATATATCTATATTACTCTATGTTTTGACACTTGAAACATTAATTCTTCAAAGAGTGGCAATTGTTCCATTTTTACACAACGAAAAATGTCTTTTTCCATGTTGCACTGTTTTGAACAGAAGTTAAGATTGGTCTAGATCAAAGCATACAAGCACATTTAATATTTTATTTCTCTTTATTGAGAAAAAGAGTTCAGAATACACTTTATCAAACATAATGCATTTCATTAATAAAATCTGTAAAGAGATGTCTTTGCTGCAAGCCCCAAAAAGATTACATTAATTCATAATTGAAATTGCAAATTTTCACTGAAGTTCAGGTATTCTGTGAATATTTCAATGCACCAATATTTGATGAAAAAAATTCATAACATAATAAAACAAGAAAATATTTATATATATCCTGTCTTCCTATTATAAGCATGCCCCATGTCCATGTTTACCAAAATTAACTCTTCATAGTGAAAAAATACCTATTTCAACTCAGATGCTTACTTCTGTTCTTTACTAGTTAACCCAAAAATTGTTTTATATTATGGGGAAAACCATTTTAGAAACAAATGACGGAGGGTTTCACTTACCTGATAAAAAGTTTACAAATATCCTTGAAAAATGGATTACACTTAACTCTAATAATATGATTGTATAAATGAAATTTATACCTTTAATATCTGCACAAATATACACAAGTACTGCTGATAAAATTGCAAAGATTTAAACATTTCACAGAACTTTTAGGTTTAAACATGATTATTTTTTCTCTGTGCGATAACCAATATATCCAACATGTAGTTTTAACCATACATCAGAATTTTTATCAAAAAACTTGAAATTGAAAGTACATGTACACAAAATAACAATAAGTTATTGAGAAGATAATATTTCACAAAATATTAATATGACTGATGACAAAATACTGGCATATGAATATAACGAATGTACATGTATATCCTTATTCCCTTTCATTTTTAAAACTATAATTTATAAATCTAAAGATGCTGATTTTTAAATGCCCAAAAACATGTCAGTTGAAATTGCCTTTTTATGACTACCTTATCTTACGTTAACAAAAAGTTTGATTAAATGACAATAGTAATAGATTCTTTGAAGAAATAAACATCTCCTCAAGTATAAAAATAGACATCAAATTCTACACAAGTTTTATTTATTGTCACCTCCACAAAAAATCCCAGTGTAATTTAAAAATAATCAAATTATTCTCACTGTACATAAATATGTAATCAATTTTAACTTTAAGACAGATTTCAGTGTCTGTTTATCCTTCTTGTATCAACCCGAACTTGCTTCCACACCTTTACCATTTAGTGCATGTCTATTCAGTGCATGTCTATGCGCCTGTAGTACAACAGATACGGTACTCGGCCTGGGATAGCCTTTAAGACGGTACCCACTGATACATGCTTGACTAGACTATCGTCAATCATAATCCAGTTATTGATGGCAGGATGAAACACGGCAGTGGTGTAATGGCCTCCTGTTGCCTTCTTACCATGATGGTACACCACTGTAAAAAATAAAGTAAATAATTTCAAAAGTCACAAAATAATAAACAAGAGGCCCATGGGCCACATCGCTCACCTGAGCACTAAGGGTAGGAAAAAGTAGAAAATGGCTTTTTACTGTAAAGTTTAAATCCAAAAGTAGTCCCATGACCAATCATGGATTTGCTATTTTTTAGAAAATGATTTTTAAAGAATTTTCCTATAGATACATGTATCTTTAAAAACTTTGGTCGGCCATTTTGGCCACGCCCTACCCCTGGGGGTCATGATTTGAACAAACTTGAAACTACACTACTTGAGCATGCTTCCATACAAATATGATGAATTATGGCTTTGTCATTCTTGAGAAGATGTTTAAAGAATTTTCCTATATATTTCTATGTAAAACTTTGGGTGGCCATTTTGGCCCCGCCCTACCCCCGGGGGGTCCTGATTTGAACAAACTTGAATCTACAATACCTGAGCATGCTTCCATATAAATATGATGAATTATGGCTTTGTCATTCTTGGGAAGAAGATTTTTAAAGAATTTTCCTAAAAACTTCTATGTAAAACTTTGGTCGGCCATTTTGGCCCCGCCCTACCCCGGGGGGTCATGATTTGAACAAACTTGAAACTACACTACCTGAGCATGCTTCCATATATATATGATGAATTATGGCTTTGTCATTCTTGAGAAGAAGATTTTTAAAGAATTTTCCTATATATTTCTATGTAAAACTTTGGTCGGCCATTTTGGCCCCGCTCTACCCCCGGGGGTCATGATTTGAATAAACTTGAATCTACACTACCTGAACATGCTTCCATATAAATATGATGAATTATGGCTTTGTCATTCTTGGGAAGAAGATTTTTAAAGAATTTTCTTATATATTTCAATGTAAAACTTTGGTCGGCCATTTTGGCCCCGCCCTACCCCGGGGGGTCATGATTTGAACAAACTTGAATCTACACTACTCGAGCATGCTCCCATATAAATATGATGAATTATGGCTTTGTCATTCTTGAGAAGAAGATTTTTAGAGAATTTTCCTATATATTTCTATGTAAAAGTTTGGTCGGCCATTTTGGCCCCGCCCTACCCCATGATTTGAACAAACTTGAATCCACACTACCTGAGGATGTTTCCCCATAAGTTTCATCTTTCCTGGCACAGTGGTTCTTGAGAAGAAGATTTTTAAAATATGCCACTAAATTTTCATTAATTCCCAATTATCTCCCCTTGAATAAGGGCGTGGCCTTTCATTTGAACAAACTTGAATCCCCTTCACTCAAGGATGCTTTGTGGCAAGTTTGGTTGAAATTGGCCCAGCGGTTCTTGAGAAGAAGTCGAAAATGTGAAAAGTTTACAGACAGACAGACGGACAGACAGACAGACGCCGGACAAAATGTGATCAGAAAAGCTCACTTGAGCCTTCGGCTCAGGTGAGCTAAAAAGTTATAATTTTATATCGGCTGGAAATATCAGCTGAACAAACCTATACAAACATTTACTTGAATATTATATCAACCTGATTACAAGGAAGAATCATTTTCATCTTGAGACTTATTGGCGAGAACATTCATACATGAAAGATTAAAGGAATGCATGAAAAATCTTTGATAAACATGGGAAGAAATGTTTTCTGTGAGTTTTCATGATGACTTACCAGCAAAGAGTTTGTAAGACCTCTGATGAATCTGAAGCTTGTTCCGGACATTAGGGGACAATAAATCTACAACCAAACCAAACTATACATAACACATGTACAATAAATCCACAGACCAAACTATGTACAGATTATACATGTTCATAATCTTGAAACACAGAAATGAAATGCCCATGAAATTTATGATTTTCAATATTTTCAGTTCATCTAAATTGATGTGAATTAATTTGACCCTTTCAAGGTAATTACTATGCAAGATGTATGTCGTCTATGTACAAGTAAATATAAGTCATACCTTTGGTAATTTCGAGGTCAATACCATACTCCAAATTCTTCAGTAGTTTCTGGCTTCCTCCATCTTTATCGTAAACAAAGAATTTCAGATGGAGGATCAGCACAGGAGGCAGTTCTTCTAAGGTCAAATGTCGCACAACGTCTACCTGTGGTCAAAAAAAGCTAGAGGATGAGCAAATTTATACAAAAATATGTCAAGCATGGAGGAAAAAGTGAACTCTATAATAAAATATTTTTACATAGGGGCATTTGGTCAAATTGAAAGGTAGAAATATATATTGCAATATGAAAAATGTACCTTGCTTCTTAGTTTAAAATTTGGACAAATGATGAAAATTTTTAGAAAAACAATTTGTCCTCTGACCTTTAACCTCCTGGGCCTAAGAATAATGGTATTAGATGTTATTTTGATTTTAACTTACCTCTGCTTTGGTTTTGGAGCAAGTGAATCCTGATACGGACTCTCTAGACACAAGACCTTCTAAAGCTTCTTTCACAGAGTAAACTTTCTCTGACTAGAATTAGAAAAGTAAAGAATTACAGGTATGCCAAGGCTTCCTACAATACCATTTCAATGAAAAAAAAAGAATGGCTAAATAGTTTTCAAAACCATGCATGTTCATTTTGACATAACTGCATTGCAATTTTTTAGTATGTTGCATAAAATAGAAAAACTTGGTAATGTAGAAACCAATCTAATTCTTGGTAAAAAATATGAATTTTAGTGTAGTCTACTTGTGAGCTAGGTTTTATTGAAAACAGACAAACTGTGGGAGGAAGCATTTTAAAATGGCTGTGACAGTCATAAATTGCATGAATGTCTTAAATGAAGAGTAAAGAGTGGCGGTACTATATTACATAAATGTCTAACTGAAATATGAAGATTACCTGAATGTCCAACTGGAGAGTGAAGAATGGCTGTAAGGTGGCCGAGTCTTTAGATGATGCTTTATAAAGGGCTGATCTTGTATACCCCACAAAAATCTCAGCCAAAGGGGTTTTCTCAAATGTTGCCTAAAAATGAAAAGAAAGTCATATACGTATTAACAGTAAAATCTTTCTTCATACCTGTCACTACATTCTTCTCTTTATTCAGGTCATAAAATATTTGTGTTAATTTTGGATCCATACAGTCCTTAGGTCATTCCAGTAATTAACATAGCTGTAATTCGGAGAAGTTGAACCATGCTTTTATAAATATATAAGCCATAACAGCACTACATGTACTTACTCGTCGTGTCAGAACACTTTTCTTTTTTGGGCCGACTTGTTCCCAGGAGTCTGAGCCGGCGTCCTCGGAGCTGTCGTCCACGACGACATCTTCTGCCACACTGCCGTTAGAGGCAGCAGAAGCTAAACAAAGAAAACACGGACAACACCATGAACTCAAACAATCAACAAATGTCTTAATAATAGGAGGACCCACAAAGCATGCAAAACTTTTCAGGACATTTTCATGTCACTTGAAAGCCTTTGTTCAGTTTTAGCTGTGTTGTTACCTGTAGTTGTCCCATTGGCAAATTTGATGAGAGTGGACATTTCTTCATGTAGTCCATCTAAAATACAACTGAGAAATTCCTCAGCATCTTCTTGCTTTCCAAGCTGTCAAATAAAAAAATAAAACAATCAATATCACTATCAAAATACCATACAATAAATATCTTGAGAAAAGTCTACTGTATACAGGGTTATTTTCGCCCCGTGTTATTTTCGCCCTTTTGAACTTATGAACAGATTTGCCCCATTTAAATTCGCCCAGTCATAGTTCTGCGTAAGAAATTATAGGTGTAATTTGAATTCGCCCTGTTTTAAATTCGCCCAATCAAGGAGAGGGCGAAAATAAAACTGGGGCGAAAATTTCCCTGTCTACAGTATATCATATGCCCTGTCGAAATATAGACAAAAAAATAACTAATTTTCCAAGGAATCTGTTTTGTATCTATTTATATCCATTAAATATTTTCTCCTTATTTCTCTTCCCACTTCCCTTTCATCAATTCATAAGCTCTACGTTGGAATCTTTTTTAAATCATTCTGTATGAATGATTTTTTACATCTTTTTTACATCTTCCAGCATTAAAACATATAGTATTACTTGAAACATAAAGGATAATATAATATTTTCTTATCTTAAATTTGTAAATGCATGGTTCAAGGTTGCAATCATTACAGAAAAATTTAAGTAACTTTTACTTAAGTAGTAGAAAAGGCCATCTAAGACTGACCTTGAATGACTTGTTTGCTTCAATGACCTGCAGCATGTTGTACACATTGGTAGGTTCAAAGGCAGGCCCCGGGGTCAAATCTGTCAAGGTCCTCTTCCCTACAAATAAAGATACACAATACAGTTATACAACAATATCTAAAAGTAATAATTTATACATGTACACATGTACCAAGAAAAAATCCAAAAATGTAAAAATATTCATAAACATCTCGAGGCATAAGCAACACAGGGATGAGAATCAAATGTATGCTCCCATTTACTTACCCCTTTCTGTTGGTCTGCCACATGGATGGAATTCATGAACAAACTGGACTCTAAAACAAAATGTACCATATTTAACAAAAAATCATATTCAATTAATTTGCACAATCATGTGATATACATGTATATGAGCACTACAATATAGATAAGTATACCTCAAGTTACAAAATATTTTAATATTTGTTTTCCTTAAATGCTTTCCCAGTTACAAATAAAGTGCCGCGCCACAGCATGATACGCCCGTCAAAAAAATTACAATTTTCTTGAACAGTTTAGGTGCAAGAAAATCACCTCAACCTTGATTCTAAGATTTCGATGATTTTTCCATTCCTTAAAATATTTATCCATCCCCTGTGATGTAGGCATCAATTATAATAAATTATTACATCACTGATAGATTTCTGTGCTGGTTGTGTTAGACCTTGTCAAATGCCCATCATCAAATTAGTCTTAACAACTTAATCTATACCAAATTAATTTTGAAAAGAAAAGGCTGGCCATCAAATGACATATGTTATAAACTGACCAGCAGTTCTTCTGTCTAATCCCCAAAGGGTGCTTAATCAGAGCACTGAGACGACTGAGACGGCTAGCCTTCCTACATTGAACTCATTAATTAATCTTTAACTGGATGCTTGTCTACTCATTACTACCAAGAGATGAATGGGTCTGCACTATCTACTATAAATTTTTTTTAAAAACATATAAAATACTCAAAGATTTTTTTGGGGGGTTGAGATTTAATTTCCAACAGGTTTTAATATGTAATTCATATGGACATGCTGATTCCACCCCACCCCATAAAATTAGTTTTTAAATTAATAATATTGCATAATATCAGATTAGTCCATAATGCAATATCAAATTAGTTAATTTAATTACTTTTCATCAAATTCATTTTAAAACTTAAGCTAGTCAACAAGAGCTATAGTCTATTTTTAATCAAACAGGCTTACCCATTTGCCCAATACTCAATGGATATAGATAACACCAATGCTCTGTCAGTTAGCTCCTCGCACTCAAAACCCATTAATTTCTCTCTAATTTGACATGCAATTTTCTGTTATCAAAATTCTTCTTGACCAGTGCTTGATAATTACACTCATGGGAGAGGTAGAATTTCTCTAACATACATTATATTTGTTATGGATTGCTGTCAAGTATATGCTTTAAAAAACATGTATTTTCTTGATTTAACACTTTTTTAATAAGGACAGTGCAATACTCTTACATTATTTGGGATGTGTAAATGAATAGTAAAAAGACACATTTTTTTTTAAAATTTCACTTAAATTAAAGGTCACAGTGACCTTGAAATAGGTCGTGACACACCTTCTACCTAAGATGCATAAACTGGCCAAGTTTGATGATTGTAAGTCTTATGGTTTTCCTGTTATGGGCCGGAAAGGATTTTTCCATATTTGGCTATAACTTCTTAATTAAAGGTCAGAGCGACCTACTTTTTGTGCGCGACACACCTTCTACCCAAGATGCATCAGATGACAAAGTTTGATAATCCTAGGCCTAGTAGTATTAAAGTTATGAGCCGGAAATGAAAAAGCTAACAGACAGACGGACAGCTAGACAGACGGACGGACACGAAGCCTAAAACATAATACGTCCCGTCTTAAGACAGGTGTATAAAAATCCTTATAGATGGTTTCCTTACATGCTATCTAAGATAGGTGTGCAGCTTTTGCCACGTCTGGCTGGAGGGTGAATTGGGAATTTTTTCATCACATTGTAAAATGGTGGACAGGAGACTAATGCTTGCAAAGTCTGAGATATTAGTCAGGAAAAGTAAATGAAAATTTTAATTGATGTTCCTTCTCCTAAAATACACCAAAAGTCTGAGAAAGTTATTACGTTATTTTTAGCGAGGATTTAACTTTGGCATTATAAGCGACAGTGCTGATATTGTTGAAATTGAATATCACTAAAAATTAATTGTGTTTTATTTGTTACAGCTTCTTTAGTGGTTATTTTAAAATCACTAACAATCCTTCTTGCTAAAAATAAAATACCAACTTTTAAGGAGAAATTGCTAAATTTGTGTCTCCCTAAAATTTCCACTTATATGGTATATGATACATGTACTGGATTAAGTATCAAATTCAGGGCTTTATAAATTTTTTCTCCAAAGGATACAGCATTAATGTAGCACCAGTTGCCTCGATTCATCAGTCCTCTTGGTTGAAGTCCAATAGGAACATGGTTGACCTTCATCCGAGATAAGGAGTCTACCATACAAAATATTATAAAACTTAATTAAAACTAGAAATATGTCCTTAGGACATGAATGCCCCGCCGAGGATATATTAGTAAAGCAACATGAAAATTTGTATGTGTATAAAATTTGATCAGAATATCTTGAATAGTGATGCAGCTGAATTGCTTGTTTGGAAAATATAGGTCAGATCCAGCATCCGAAGCAAGTCTGGTAGTGTTCATCCCGAGAAGCATTATCCATGCAAGTTTGTATCAACATGTGAAGTTTGATAACACCATCATGAATGGTATGTTTAAAACTGACCAAACACTAATTTAAGAAAAGTGAGGTCAAGGTCAAAGGAAAGGTCAAGGTCAAAAAAAGTTGATGCAGTTGCATAGCTCTCATCAATACCTATCAGCATATGAAGTTTGATGAAAATATCTTGGATAGTTTCTTTGAAACTTAGCTTTGAACAGAGCTAAACCCAAAGTGTGACGGAAGGACGGAAGACGGACATGACAAACACTATATGCCCCGGCCATATTCATGGCGGGGCATAAAAATTCATTCAGAGAGCAAGCTAACCTACTGTGTTTATTTTAACAATTCAACTGTCTACTCTTTACAAATATTGATTCGGCAGCGATTAACGACACATGCAGTTACCATTTCCAATACAATAGCACACTTTCAATATATAATTTACCTCCAAATGTTTTGGCAAGTGGATCTTCAGATACGTCCACTGGTGCACAAGGTAACTTGGACTCAGCTTTAGGAGTCTCGGCTGGTTTGGGGGAGTCAGTGGTGGGAGTAGGTGACCAGTTAGTCACTACGAATCCCTGTCTAGCCGGGTCTACGTTACTGAACAGCCCCGCCCACGATGAGGACTTTGGTTTGACAGCGTGAGGAGGAACACTTTGTGGTGAGGTACTTTGTAATGACGATCCATCTGCTGATTCTCTGTGGGATTCTTCAGAAAAAGATCCACTCGTCTTGCCCAAAACTGGATACTGATCTGGGTCCAGGTCTGTGCGAGGGGCATCAAATTCAAATGTGAGGGGTTGATCTGCAAAATCTGCATTGTCTTTTAATTCTTGGTCAATCACATGCTGACTAGAAACGGGGGGAATATGTGAAGAGAGAGAATCAACAGATGATTCATGGATCATGGAGGTATTCTTTTCTGAGCCATCATAAGTTAAAGTGCTATTACTACAAGTATTTGGTGTCACATTTTGTGCTGGATGTTGCACAGATACCCTTGAAATGTGTTCTGACAATTTTTCAATGTTTTGTGATTCAGTCTTTAAGGATGCATTGGTAGAAGAGATTTCTGTGCTTCCTCCAGAAAAAGAAACTCCATGTGACATCACAGAAGATGTTGATACAAGGTTAGTGGTCTCATGAGAAGGTCCACTAGGGTGCATAGATGGGGACACTTGTGTGAATGAAGCTGAGTCAAAACCAGACACATTGAACTGTGAAACTGGAGCAGATTGCTTAGAGGAAGAATTATAAGTATCTGCAGATGTTTGAACAGGCTGCTGCCATTGTGAGAAATTGCTTGGATTACTATGAATTTCCTCTGATGATCTGCTAGGTGGAATGAATTCTGGCTGTTTTGGGATCAAATGGTCAATAGTAGCATTTCCTTGGAAGTTAGCACCAAAGTTCTGATGCTGGGGATAATGATCAGTCTTATGAAGTGGGTAATGATCAGTCTTATGCTGTGGATAATTATCAGTCTTGTGATGTGGATAATTATTTGTCGGATGCTGTGGATAATTATCAGTCCTACGCTGTGCATAATTATCAGTCTGAGCACTATATCTGGAATGAACACCTGTCGGCTCCATGTAAGAGTTGCCTTGTGAAGACAAGTTTCCCGTGCCAGGAAAACTGTCCATCTGATTGTCCAGTAATGGAAGTGACTGCTCCACTTCTTCATGCCACATTAGCGGTCTGCTATCCTCCTGATCACCTGACAAAATGGGATTTTCCAAGTGAGCTGTTTCTTCAAACCTCTGATAATAATCTGGAGGCCGCCTCTTTTTGTTCCTCCTCTCGTAAGGTTTTCCAGCATTTCTGTTTGTTGACTGTTCCTTTGTTTTAGCATTATTAATGTAAAGGTTTTCCACCTCGAATGCTTTTTCAGAACTACACACAATTTTGTCTGTAACATTACTGCCTATGGCTTGTTCGGGGTGATTTTCTGTGCGATGTACAGATGAGTCGGAGAGTCCCTGAGCAGAGACATTAGGTTGAGTGTGACAGTCATCTCCTTCCCCTGTTATAGGATATATTTAAAAAATTATCACAACTGTAAGCAAAGAGGTAAATTCTATCTACAGAAAATATCTCTTTTATTCCAATATCAGCCGAGAAAATATACTTTGCACTACTCTAAAAGTAACATGCTTATAAAAAGTGCCAGGAATGAATGAACTGCTTTGTTATAAACAAAACTGGAGACAAAAAAAGGTAAAATTTGTGGAAGACTCCTACGTGTGGATATACTGAACACTTTTCAATAGGGTGATAGGTGTTACCTAAAGTTGTAAACTTAAAGAAATAAACTGATCACCAACACATCATGGGAAAGCACAAGTAGATTTATTTTGTGGAATGATTTATATGATCTGAGATTATTGAAATATAAATATATCGCTGCATTGTCATGAAGTGTTGGCGATGTATTTTGTTTTTTAATTTATAAGCATAATTTGTTAAATCTTTTAAATTCACAATATATTTAACTGTCATAGGAATATGAATTGACTAACTAGAATAATCACTAAAAAAAAGAACTATTATCCTAAATAAATATATTACTTACCAAATCTCCTTGGCTCTGAATTTCCCCATGGAAACTTAAAAGAAACATATGAGAGTATAAAAAATCAAATCTGGTTTGTATAAAATAATACCACAGAGAAATAATTTTTCACATGTCTGACTCCTTCCTGTACAGTATTAAGTAATGCTGACATGATAGCTATCTGGGATTTACTTACTTCTACCTTTCCCAATTCTCTGCTCCTCTGTCCAAACAGTATTTCATTTACCCTCTGCTGTTCTCGAGGATCCAAGCTTGTTACATCTAGGAAATTTAGTCCCTAGCATAAAAAAATAAACTTTTTATAATCAAAATACATGTACTCAAATTACATGATCGAGACTTGCATTATTCAGAGAATTTTTCTGAGGTTTACAAAGTCAAAAACTGCTGCAGTTAAAAGGTTATGATGACAGTACCGGGGCTAGCCTAAGGGCTAATACATACATGTAATAGTTGGAACTTTACTAAAGTATATTCACTTCAAATATACATTGAAATTCAAGCGACCAGCACATTTTTTTTTAATTTAACCTCATTCCCATATGAGATTGAACAACCATATTATTTCTTAATTTCTTGGGAGAACCTAGTTAAAATAAATAAAAAATTATCGGTCAAACATCTTGGGCTCTATTATCCACTGCTTTTATTCTAAACTTTCAGATTATGTCAACTGTGCAGACAACTTTGACATCACCATTTTAAGAAATGTTATAATTTTTAAACATCTATCGGGATGTAAATACAGGTTGGTCAAAAGATCAAATTCCATAAAGCCGAAGGTCTTTATGATGAATTTGATCTTGTACCAACCCGTATTTATAGCCCTATATAGATGTTTTAGATTGATATCAGGAGTTTGCGTACCTATCAATTTTACCGAAATTTTCAGTAAATTAATAAAATTTATAATACCTATAATAATGAGAAAAATTTCTGTAAAACTGATAGGTATACGAACTCCTGTGCTTACATTTATATTTGTGACTTATTCATATTTTACAATTTGCCTGATTATGACTTTTCACGCATGCAATGTTTTTAAACTTTATTTTTCCAAACCAAATGGCATGTATGTAATCCATTGATTGTGTGTTGACTCTTTATGGCGTCACTGAGAAATTACCTCACTTTAAAGTTTGGTCTGAGATATGGAAGCTTAGTACTGATTTATAATAAAAATTCAGAATTATTGCTTCCAGGCTATTTCAGCAAAGATCACCCTTCAAAAGGCTAAGTAAAGCAGCCAATCCAAGCAAAATGATGAGCATGAAAAATATTTGAATTTGTACAATTTATGTCAAACTTAAGGTGTTTCTGTCTTCTTCTTTGCTGTTGATATTTAAGATTAATTAGTGTAGGTACCTGATTTCATTTAATGCTTATAATATACATGTATATTACATGAAAGATATCGATAATCCAAGCGCGTTAAACAACACGCGCGCAATGCTACCACTTTTGAGGTCTGAATCTCCCTCTTTTTCATCACAATAGGTTAACATGTATGATAAAAATATGTCTCATCTTGAAATAAAGCCCCACCCCCCTTCCCGAAAACTGAAATTATTACTCTATTGAAGATAACTTCATATCATATTTAAATTACTAGGGACAATACAAAATAATCATATATAAATAACCTTATGTAAACAAACAAACTGAATACTGAACAGCAATAATATCAAGTTCTATCAGTCCATGTCTTCAAAGTTCAAGTGTCACTAAAAATGCAAAATATAAAGCATTGACAAGCGTAGTGAAGGAACAAAGGATCTTAAATATCTACAAGTCAAACGGTTGTAGCTACCTGGACGTTAGTGTTCATTATGAGAAATATCAAAAACTTGTCTTGTCACATTACATGCTGAATCGCCATATTGTAATGTTGCATCGCTTTTAGGAAATTTTGACTTCCGGTTTAGTAAATAACGAAAAAAAGATAAAACGGATTTATTAAAACTAATATACATTTATTATCAATATAGGCTATGTGTAGAGAAAACACAAGATAAAACAAATTTTAAACAAAATTTTTTTTTCATAACATTAAACCCTGAAAACATATGAATTATGGGCAATTCCAACTAAAATATTACAATTTTATCCGGCTGTATTTTATATTGTAGTATACTGTTAGGTATTTACCTACACAATCAGCAACAGGGTCCCATGGTGTAATGGTTAGCACTCTGGACTTTGAATCCAGCGATCCGAGTTCAAATCTCGGTGGGACCTCACAATGTTTTGTTGTCCTCCGCTTTCGCAACATGAAATCTCATTCGAAATATTCGTCTGTCAGTCTGCATGGTCTGTAATGTTATAGATCTGTTAGTCGCAAAAAATCTTGAGCCAAAGGCAAAGACCATAGGTCCCTGCATTAACCTTGAACATATATTTTTGCATGAGAAGAGACAGGGCTGTCATACTACTCATTGTCAAGATTTCTCTAAAAACACTATGATATTTGACCCCTGACCTTAAAATTAATCTACTTTCAAACAAATTTAAACATTGCGTACTTTGCAGGGTCATGACTTTTTAATGAGAAGAGATAGGGCCTGGGGCAAGGCCTTTCTAAAAACACTATGATTTTTGACCCCGTGATCTTGACTAATTACCTTAGAAAAGACCAATCTAGATATACTATGATTTTTTACCTCTTGACCTTGAAGTTTCACCTACTTCAACCTTGGTCATGACTTTTGAATGACAAGACATAGGGCTTTCATATTCAAATCTGTGTATTGCTTGTGACAAGACCTTTCTAAATACACTATGATTTTTCTTCGGACATTGACCTTGAAGTTTGACCTACTTTTCACATATGATAATTTTTTTCTTATAACTATATTGATTGAAAAGAGATAGGGCTTTCATATTTGACATTTGCATTACCTGTGACAAGAATTATTTCCAAGCATGCTATGATGCAAAGATGGAAGGAGCATTTTGAAGAGATACTAAACCGCCCAGATCCAAGCAACAGAGCAGAAATACCTGAAGCAAACATTGACTTAGATATCAACATAAATGAACCATCAAAATTAGAAATAATCACAGCAATCAAGAGTTTAAAGAACAATAAAGCACCTGGGAATGACAACCTACCAGCTGAAATATTCAAAACAGACCCTATCCTTGCAGCAGATATCCTTCATCCTCTTTTCTGCAAGATATGGAAGTACAACATGATACCAGCAACATGGTCTGAAGGTAGCATCATCAAACTACCAAAGAAAGGAGACCTCACAAACTGTAACAACTGGAGAGGTATTACCTTACTCTCTATACTAAGCAAGACATTCAGAAAAATAATTGAAAGCAGAATAAAGACAGCAGTGGATAAAAAACTAAGGAAAGAACAGGCAGGCTTCAGAAAAGGAAAGAGCTGCTGTGACCAAGTATTTGTACTAAGAAACATAATAGAACAGTGCACAGAGTGGCAAAGAAAACTCATCATAAACTTAATTCATTGACTTCGAAAAAGCTTTTGATAGCATTCACAGAGACAGTTTGTGGAAAATCCTGAGGCACTACGGTATACCATCTAAACTAGTTGACCTAATAAAAGCATTTTATGCAGAATTTAAATGCTCTATTGGTAGATCATCAAACACAAGCTTTCTTGTTAAGTCAGGAGTGAGACAAGGATGTGTGATGTCAGCTCTACTGTTCATTATAGCAGTAGACTGGGTAATGAGATCAACCCTTAGTGATGAGAATACCGGCATCAGATGGACTCTTTTCAACAAACTAGAGGACTTAGATTATGCAGATGACCTGGCTTTATTATCTCATCTGGAAACACAAATGCAAAGAAAAACATCTAATTTACAAATAAATGCCAGCAAAATCGGATTGAACATCAACATAAAGAAAACAGAAGTAATGTCCCTTAATACAAAAAGCCCACCCAAAATACAATTGAATGGAGGAGATATCAAAAATATAGATTATTTTACATACCTGGGAAGTGTGGTAACATCAGATGGCGGAGCTGACAAGGACATAATATCAAGATTAGGTAAAGCCAGAGGAGCCGTTGTCAAGCTTAAGAACATATGGAAGTCAAGCAGTATTAGCAGACATACTAAGATCAAACTGTATAATAGCTGTGTCCTATCTGTTTTAATGTATGGTGCTGAATGCTGGAGGATGACTGAAAGTGATATTAAGAAACTATCAAGTTTTCATAATGGGTGCCTCAGAAAGATCTTGAGGATATTTTGGCCAGCAAAAATAACCAACAAAGATTTGCATGAAACAACTAAAACAACAGACATGAGGACCTTACTAGTAAAATACAGATGGAGGTGGATAGGCCATGTCTTGAGAAAGCCCACAGATGACATCACAAGAGTGGCACTCAGATGGACCCCAGAAGGGAAGAGAAGGAAAGGCCGACCAAAAACAACATGGAGGCGAACAGTGGAGAAAGAACTAAAGGAGATAAATCTCACCTGGGGAGAGGTGGAGAAGATTGCAAAGAATAGAGAGGAATGGAAATCCCTAGTCCTTGCCCTATGTTCCTCCGGGTGCAACAAGGACTAGGTAGGTAGGTAGGTATGCTATGATTTCTGACACCTTGACCTTCACGATTGACCTAATTTTCAAAAAAAAAAAAAAAAAAAAAACTCAACTTAGATGATAACTTCTGAATGACATATGATAGGGCGTTCATATTTGACACAATATGTCATAAAAAATGACATTTCAACCACAAAGACACCGATAGCGGGGGACCACAAATTTAAATTTGCTAATTATTACATCTTTAAAGAAATGTTCATATATTCTGGATATTATTCGGTAAACGTGTAGTAGTATTAAATATTGAGATCAAGAACCGTAATCAAGTTCAATGGTCCTTTGAAACAGTACACTTTCGGCAGCGGAGCAAAGGCAGATTTATGAGAAGAAATAAAACATCAGAGGTGGAATCCCTGCGGCACAATGGAATAATAAGCATCCCCTGTCGACCAGCCATACCTGCTTTGTGCTCCTTGTCATGATAGGAAAAGAGGTAAAATCACCACTTTTATCAAAATGTTTCATTAGGTTACCATTGATGTCTTTTCCCCGTAAAATATCATAATATGAAACAGATGTGTCACGCGTCAGACTATGTACCTCTACTTATAAAGGGGCGCATTTGATGCCCATGGGAATTCCGATGGATTAATGTTGAAAGACGATCTCCAAAAACTACATAGATATTTAGAAAATCAAGCATCTTTGTAACATAAAAAACACCATTATTACTTTTTAAAAAAACCACATGCACTTGTGGACAGGATTCCTCCAATCTAATCAAAAGACCCCCCCCCCCCCCATTTTAACCCTGTAGCTTGTTGCATTTATTTCTCTGCACGGACGTATCTCATGTTACGTTAGGATAAAACCGAGCAAAAAAGCAACCTTATGGTCCTTAAAAAAACCACTTTACATCATCATAAATTATATATAATCACAGGTACTTTTAAAATTGTGGACAGGACCCCCCTCCCCCCCCCCCCCATATTCAACAAAAAAAATATTATATTATAATGTATAGTGGGGTATATTTTTTGTGGAGCGATTATTTACGGGTTTTTGCGATTTTTTTTTTCCTATTGTAAACATGATGAATTTAGTGTAATGAATATAATTTGTGGAAAAAAATGTCCAATCAGCCCCGGGGTTGAATATCGGGGGGGGGGGCACAAGTACATGTAAAATACAATAAGTGAGGAGATGTCCAAGAAACTCCTGGATTCAAAATATATGGGGTCCAATCTGAACCAGATCTTTGTCACGCTCCGAAATTTTAATGAACATTGCTATACTTTGAAAATCAAATCATCAGAATTTACATTTCAGTTACCATCATACCATCCAGCAGTGGAATGCCCTACCCACCTCTACCGTGATGGCTCCGAGCCTTGACTGTTTCAAGGCTCGCCTCCGTCTATAGGTCACCAGCCAAATAATTCTTTTTTAAACTCACTTGAAAATTACGGAAGCGTATTAGTGCCACTTGCACACTTTACTTTTTTTTAATTTCGACACTTTAATCTGTAAATTTTACACTTTAAAGTGTAAATTTTACACTTTAATCTGTAAATTTTACACTTTAATCTGTAAATTTTACAGATTAAAGTGTGAATTTTACACTTTAATCTGTAAATTTTACACTTTAATCTGTAAATTTTACACATTAATCTGTAAAATTTACACTTTAAAGTGTAAATTTTACACATTAATCTGTAAAATTTACACTTTAATCTGAAAAAATTACTCTTTAAAGTCTAAATTTTACACTTTAATCTCTAAATTTTACACTTTAAAGTGTAAATTTTACACTTTAATCTGTAAAATTTACACTTTAATCTGTAAATTTTACACTTTAACCTGTAAATTTTACACTTTAATCTGTAAATTTTACACTTTAATTTGTAAATTTTACACTTTAAAATGTAAAATTTACAGATTAAAGTGTAAAATTTACAGATTAATGTGTAAAATTTACACTTTAAAGTGTAAAATTTACAGATTAAAGTGTAAAATTTACAGATTAAAGTGTAAAATTTACACATTAATCTGTAAATTTTACACTTTAAAGTGTAAATTTTACACTTTAATCTGTAAATTTTACACTTTGAAATGTAAAATTTACAGATTAAAGTGTAAAATTTACAGATTAAAGTGTAAAATTTACAAATTAAAGTGTAAAATTTACAGATTAATGTGTAAAATTTACAGATTAAAGTGTAAAATTTACAGATTAAAGTGTAAAATTTACACTTTAAAGCGTAAAATTTACAGATTAAAGTGTAAAATTTACACTTTAAAGTGTAAATTTTACAGATTAAAGTGTAGAAATTAAAAAAAAAGTGAAGTGTCCAAGTGGCACTAATACGCTTCCGTAGAAAATAGACTGTCACAATTGTTACATTTTTTTAAAAATCTTTTTTAAACATGCGCACACCTGGTGGCATAATAGTCAACTAATTGACGGAGGCCACTTACTGGTAGAAGTAGAAGTATAACTGTGGAGAAAAAAAATCGATTAAACAAACTCAACGAAAAAAAAAAAAAAAAAAGTTCAGGTTCCACCGAGATTTGAACTCGGATCGCTGGATTCAGAGTCCAGAGTGCTAACCATTACACCATGGAACCTTCTTACCCTAATTGGGGGAAAATGTACATCATATTAATTGACATTAAATTTAAATCTCTATACTTTCCTGAAATATAAATAAATAAATTCATTCTGCGTTTATAAAACATATTCTATTTTAAGAAATGAAAATCAATGGAATATAAAGCTGTTTAAATTTATTTTGTTATACCGGAAAGAAAGAATGGACGTTCACGTGACTTTTTGAACAAAATGTCTGCGCCCATGATAGACACTGACAGTGAAGACGAGCTACCACCAGGTTGGGAAGAACGTGTATCTGCACAGGGACAAGTGTATTATGCAAAGTAATTTGTTTAGGAACATTTATTTACTTCTGAATATAACTGAAAGGTTATTTTTTTGTCCAACATATGACAATAAAAACACTGTTGTTATAGGCTGTGTGCCTTGTTAAGGCATGAATGTTGTTTAGTAAAAGGTAACAATTGAATTTGTTTCAGTCATGAAACTAAGGCTACACAGTGGGATCATCCTCGCAGTGGGAAGAGAAAACAGATAAAAGGAGGTGAATTATTAAGCATGGGTTTAATTTTCAACCACTTCACTAAGTCACTTCTCGTAAATTAATAATATGTTGAAGGTGCGGCCAATAGGGCGAGCACAGATACTTCTATTGTTTTAATTTAGATCAGGCTCATCAAACTGCACATGAATTTGGTGCATCTGTTATAGACTCCGATGCCACATGATATCACATCATGTAGGTTGCATTACCCAGGTCTGGCACAATCTCTTGATTAAGCTATATAGCTTGATTTAGCTATATAGCTTTATTAAGCTATTCAGAATAGCTTTATTAATTAGCTATTTTATTAGACTTTTTTCTCAAATGTGTTATTTTTTCAACATGTTCAAAAAATCGCACCTTGGTGCAGTGGAAATATTAAAGTTTAAACTCTTCTGAATACAATTCATGTAAAAATCAGTCACCAAATTGCGTCTCCTTGAGAGACTTTGTATTCAAAGTTTTGGGGCTATTGATGAGTGACCACACAGTTATTTGTTGAATGAAATTATAAAGGGGGTCAGTTATGGCCAACAGATCGATAATTGATTGGTAAAAGTTCAGCAAAGTGAGAAGCAATCATACTTACCCACGCCTCAACACACACACACAGTTACTCAAACAATGGAAATTCATATTTTGCTTAAAAGTATTCAACAGCAGCAATGTTCAAACTTTCTATGATTTAGATTGTATTTTTGATAGCCCATATAAATGATCAATAGTCAGATACTTGCGACTTTTTTTTTATTTCTTGCAAAAAACGTTTTTGTGAAAAACTGCATGTAAATCGCTTTATCAAGCTATTTTGAATAGCTTAATTTTCTTGTGAGTAAACTTGCAAGGATGATACATGTAAGGATGCAGAATTATGGACTTGCTACTGATGCTGGATTCAACATCCATTTTCCAGATAATGGACTAGGTGAAAGTTATGGTAAGCCATCTTCCTAAGGACTTCAACATTCCCCGAGCCTTTGAAGAAGGCTAAATCGTCATATTGACTGAAAAAAAACAGCAATAATAATTGTTGTCTATCACCAAGAAACTAGAAGGCCTAAATTAACCAAACTTGCACAAATGATGCATCAAGGGATGAAAACTCTGAAACTTGCTTCAGTTGCTGGATTTGAATTACATTTTCTTGATGGGCGACTAGTTTGAAGTTTTTGGATAGGTCTATTCCAAAGTAACTGCAAGCCCTATCAGATCAAAATTGCATAAATTTTGCATTTTTGGATGTACACTTTTAGAATGTTGGTTAATTGTGTGACTTTGCCTTACTTAAAGACAACATTTGTTGAGGTGAGCTCTGTAATCTCTGATCACCTATGTTTAATTTTTAGCAAGATGTAATTTAGTAGTTTTAAAATCCTTACTATAGAAGCTATTAGAAATAAAACTCAAATAAAAGTCAATTGATTTTTAGTGATATTCAATTTTAAATCAGTGATTTCAGCACCTTGCCTAATAATGCCAAAGTGAAATCCTCACTAAAAATTCTGCTTATATGTTATCTGTCTTCCTTTTCCAACCAGCCTATATGCGCTGAAAATGCACTGACCTATAAGTAAGTTGCCATAATCGTGTCTCAGGGCGGGCCCATATCACAGTTAAAAAACATAAACACCCCTTATGTTGCAATGTAGCGAATTGGTTACAACTTATATTGCTTAAAGTTTGTTTTGTGGATTGAAAATAATGTCTTCAACTATGCGGGGAGGGGGCATAGAATTTCATTGCATTTGTGTGATTGTTCTTATATTTTATTTTTTTTTAAGATTTGCCTTATGGATGGGAGAAACAGGTTACAGATGATGGTGTTATAGTATTTGTGGAGTGAGTACATCATTTTTTTAATGATTGTTTTCTGTTTGATAGTGTTCAGTACATACATTTGAAACAAACACATTAATTTTGAAAATTACATACATGTACTTGAAGTTGTGCAATAGTTTTATGTTGATTGGATCTCAACACAAATGAAAGCTAGCACCTGCTTTGATTTTATGCATTATACTTCTCTTAATTACTGTGAATCACTTTTTATTCGCGGGAACTTTATTTTCGCGTAATTACACGAGACGGTTCGCTTGCAAAAATTTCATTCTCATGTATAATAGAATTCCTTAAGATCATATAGAGCAATGAACACAATTCGTGAAAATTTTGTCTCGCTAATAAAGAGTCAATGACTATCTCGCGAAAATAAGGTGTCATGAAAATTAAGTGATCTACAGGACATGTATATATCTCACATTTCTGTTATACTATACATGTATGTAAGTACATTTGAATCTAAATCAGTGTTACTGCAATAGAATAAAACATGGATAGTTATCATATAACTCAAAGTCTACAAGAAAAGCACTGATTTCACAAGTTACAAGAAAAGTACAAGACAAGCTTGAAAAAGAAATGTTTGTGCCTCTGTTTTGATTTGAATCTGTAATCTCTGGCATACCATCCATGCAATTCTTTACCAGTCAAGATAAAAGGTTTACCCACTAGCACAGGCTAGTAAACAGGTGCTTGTGGGCTAGTAGGATTCTAATGTGTACTGTCCTGTGTTATCAGCCTGGGGCCATAAAACTGAGATGAGCTCACTTTTGATCTCATGCAGTCTCACTTTAACCAAAGGAATCTATAGCTAGTAAAAAGTGAGACAGAGATCAAAAATGAGCTTGTCTAAGTTTTATGGCCCCAGATCCTGTTGTCTGTAACTTCTTCACATTTTGGACTTCTTCTCAGGAACCACTGGTCCATTATCAACCTATCCAATCAATATTGTCAGGTGAAGGGGATATACGTTTGTATAAATGAAGAGCCACAACCTCTTCCAAATAGAGATAATTGAGACATAGTGAAAAATTAGATAGAGTCATTTAAATATCTTTTGAAGAACCACTAGGCATGAAAAGATGAAACTTTAATATATAAAAGCTTTTTATTGTAGAATCAAATTCACTCAAATCATGGTCTCCAGGGTAGGGGGACCACAAAGGGCAGTCAAAATACATAGAAAGAAACTTAAAAAAAATATTCTCAAGAACAGCAAAGCCTTGATTGGTCATACATGTATATAGATATGAAAACATCCCCAGGTAGTGTAGATTTATTTTTTTTTCAAATTATAACTCCTCCCTGCCTCTCTATGATGAAAAATGAGGGGGTAGGGGTTCCACATTTATTTTAACTTTTCAAAACAGAATTAATTTCTGTTTTTCTTTAACCAAAGTGCTCATGTGAGTAATGTGGCCCATGGGCCTATTGACCCCTTTTTTTTCTTTTTGCAAGTGGGGCAGTAATTTTTAGCTTTTAGAATTAAATTACTGTACCAGTGCTATAAAGCCTATGAGTGGTGCCATTTTTTTGCAATGTAAAAAAATGATTTTTACTGAGGTTTTTCTAAAACTAATGGCAGAAGCGATCAATCTTATTTCAGTTTTTTTAGCTCTACTGGTCAGAGACCAGAAGAGCTTATGCGATAGTAATGCATCCGGCGTCCGTTCGTCTGTCTAGCTGTCTGTCCGTCTGTCTGTCTGTAAACAATTTTTCAAAATGCTACTCCTCCTACAGTTTTGGTTTGATTTCATTATAACTTGGCACACAAGTAGACTACATTAAGATACATAATTCTGTGTATCGGTTTTTGATTTCGATCAACGGTGTTGCCATGGGTACTAAAAATAGAAATTTCTGTAAAATACATTTAAAATGCTACTCCTCCTACAGTTTTGATCTGATTTCAATATAACTTATCACACAAGTAGACTACACTAAGATACATAATTCTGAGTATTGGTTTTTGATTTCAATGAACGGTGTTGCCGTGGTTACTAAAACTAGAAAATTCTGTGAAAAACATTTAAAATGCTACGTCTCCTACAGTTTTGGTCTGATTTCAGTATAACTTGACACACAAGTAGACTACACTAAGATACATAATTCTGTGTATCAGTTTTTGATTTTGATGAAAGATGTTGCCTGGTTACTAAAAATAGAAATTTCCGTGAAAAACATTTAAAATGCTACTCCTCCTATAGCTTTAGTCTGATTTCAGTATAACTTGGCACACAAGTAAAACTACATTAAGATACATAATTCTGTCAAACGGTTTTTGATTTCGATGAACGGTGTTGCCATGGTTACCTAAAATAAGAAATTTCTATGAAATACTAAAATAATGCAATTCCAAATACAGTTTTAGTCTGATTATAGTATATGTATAATGTGGCATGCAAGTATTGTACACTGAGATACATGATCATTATTCTGTTTATTGCTGTTGCGAAGCTTCAAATCCCAACTGCCACTTTTCTTTGTTTAAACTACAAACCAGTAGAACTACAGTCTCAACAGAGACTTCTGGTTATTGTTTTATCTTATGTTTTTCAGCCATATTAACAAAAAGACAACATACACAGATCCAAGGTTAGCATTTGCAGAGGATGAAAAGAAAACACTGTTAGATTTTAAGCAGAAGTTTGATGGAAACAGTGCTGCAATGCAAGTGGTTCAGGGAAAAGATCTTTCTGAAAAATATGCTATTGTGACAGGGGCAAACAGTGGTATTGGTAAGTAATATTAATACATGTATGTAATAGTAAATTTTTTGAAAGAAGAATGAAATAATTTATATGTTTGCTTTAAATCATAAAATAAAAGTATTTTCAGCAAACACTCTTATGGTGAATACTGCTGCTAATTAATTACATGCCAGTAACATCATTCTTTTATTTTGCTAATTGCCAGGAATGCAAAGTAATCATAATTTTGAATGCATACATGTAAGCAAGTTATTTTTTGTAGGTTATGAAACTGCAAGAACTTTAGCTTACTTTGGAGCAACAGTTATTCTGGCCTGCCGAAATCTGGAAGCAGCAAACAAACGTAAAAAGACTATTATGGAAGAGAGGCCGTCAGCCAAATTAGAAGTCATGCATCTGGACCTAGCTTCTTTGAAAAGTGTGCGGATGTTTGCTGAGGAATTCAGATCAAAGAAATGGTATAAAATATTAATTTGAAGGAAAATGATAAAGAGAAATAAATGTTAAACTGTTCCAAATATTATCAATTTAATGCAGTTTAGTAAATCTGTATTTAAACCAAAACGTGAAATAATGAAGGGACAGTAAATTGATTGAAAGCATAGAACCCTTTACTGGAATGATAAATTTTGCACTTATCTCAAATTTTATTTAGGCCACTGCATCTTCTGATTCTAAATGCTGCAGTATTTGGTTTGCCTTTTACAAAAACTGAAGATGACATTGAAACGACCTTCCAAGTAAATCATCTGGCCCAGTTTTACCTGACCAAGCTTCTGTGGGAGGTCCTAGCATCCTCTTCTCCATCAAGGATCGTAATTGTTTCCTCTGAATCACACAGGTACTGATAAATACATCTAACATGAGGGCCTTTTTAGCCTGCCCGGGCTTAAAGCTCAAGTGAACTTTCCTGATCAAATTTTGTTTGTGGTCTGTCTGTCGATCTGTAAACTTTTCACATTATTTACTTCTTCTCAAGAACCTCTGGGCCAATTTCAAGCAAACTTGCCAAAAAGCATCTTCGGGTGAAATTCTTTGTTCAGATGGAGGGCTACACTCCCTTTTAAGGGGAAATAGTTCAGGAAAAGTGGAAATTTGTTTGTATCTTCTAAAAATCTTCTCAAGAAGCACTGTGTCAAAAAAGTTGAAATCTTTACATAGTGAAGATTCAAATTTAGTCAAATCATGACCCCCATGAGAAGGTTGGGGCCACAATAAGAGATCAAAGTTTTCAAGAAAGATTTAAAAAATTAATTGGCAGTATCCTTCATCAATTTAAAATCATAATCATGAAATGGTGCATTTAGACCAAAGCTTCTGTACATGTATGTACTGTATGTGTAATTAAAAAAGCAGGCTTCATATTTTAACAGCTTTGGTGCAGACAATGATGCACTGAATCATGAATACCACTAAGAAACATTATATATAAATACAATATACAGCGCGGAAGTGTGTAGCACCTGCGCCAATATCTCTTTATCCAAAGATTGTGCTAAATTTTGGACATGCCAATTTATGTCCACATATTTGTTTAATCATCTATTAGTGTGTACATGACATGAAACAATTTTGACCAGAAAAATATTTTTAAATCTTATTAGATATATAGAACACAAATTGAGAATGACTTAATTTGTAAACTTACATGTATGCCTTTTGATTTTATACATATATTATTGTAAGTCTATCTCATTCTCTTTTAGATATTTAACTAGACATCTTCTTAAAGCTTAATCATGTACATGCAATGCCTCTTTTGCAGATCTAGTGACCTTTCTCTTGACAACATCAGTGAGGGCAAGTTATCTCCCATGCCCAACCAGTATCAGGACTTACAGGCCTACAATAACTCCAAACTGTGTAATATCCTATTTTCTCTGCACCTGAACAAGCTTCTGTCAGATAAAGGAGTTACTAGTAACTCAGTACACCCTGGAAATGTGATGTACACACGCATCTCTAGGAACTGGTGGTTCTATAAATTGATATTTTTCGTGGCCAGACCCTTTACAAAATCTTTGGTAAGTATAGAAGAGTATACTTTGGAGATCTTTCAAAGATATGCTACACAATGTTTAAGCATTAAGAAAGAGCATGACAAATCCATAGTAATATTTATGATAACTTTATTGAGAAAATAGTGAATTTGGAATAGAATCAATTAAATATGAATATTTTTCTTTTCCATCAGTGAAAAAGGGAACAGTTTCATGTACATCATCGCCTCTAGATGAAGTTAATAATAGTGTTAAATCGATATCACCAGACTGCTGAAAATAGAGATTGAGAACGTTGAAAAATATGTATGCTTGTAAAGCTTTAAAATTATTACTTGCCAATATAAAACACCAGTTTACACCTCAAATTTAGTATACTCTTTAGACAAGTGAACGGGCTTTTGCCGACATCCATGTAGGTGAAGCCTGTCCACTTCTTTAAAGAGAATACATATTTTGATGAACCTGCCAGCGAAATAATACGCTAAAAGTGAAGTATTACCCAATATAACAACTAAGTGACCAACTATCTATAGTCTTATGTGTATCTTTGTAAATGGAAAGTACTGTAAACCAACTTTTATTCGCGTCGACTTCATTTCGCAATATACCGGGGGTCAACTAGTTTGCGACAATTAAATTTCGCAATCAAGCCTTTTTTGGATCTGTTTTTAATAGACAGAGAGACGTCAAGGACTGGTTCGCAGCGAGAAATATTCGCGATGACAAGGCTCCCGCGAACCTCGCAAAAATTTCTTGCACGTGAGTAAAAGTTGGCTTACAGTATTTAATAATAGTGTGTGTTTTAATTTAACTGTTTTTCTTTCAGCAACAAGGTGCAGCCACTACAGTCTTCTGTGCAACCTCAGCCCAGTTAGAGGGAGTGGGGGGACTGTACTTTAACAACTGTTGTCGTTGTGAGCCCTCTAAGTCTGGCTGTGATGAGGAGCTGGCCCTCAGACTCTGGAACCTCAGTGAGAGGATGTTACAGAAGGCACTGAATAGGGAGAAGTAGAGGTTTATCACATCACTCTAGAGAATTCAGTCATATTGTGAATAGGAAGAACTAGATTTATCACATCTCAGATAAGGGAGAACTGGAGATTTATCACATCACTTCAAAGAAATCCAGTTATAATGCGAAAAGGGAGAACTAGAAGTTGTTCATGTCACAGTAGAGAATCCAGTCATAGTGTGAGATCTATCACATTACTTTAGAGAGGTTCTATTATGATATGAGACAGCTAGGGTCTGCAAGTTGAGGAACATGGACCTACTAGTCAGAGAGAAGCAGCAGAGTCTTGTATCAGAATGTGTGGAAGTGTCAGAAAGTTAGAGAGGCTGGAGCGTTGATGTAGTGCTGGCGGGAAGAGATAACTGATTGCTGAAGGAAATTAACTGATCAATATCTCTCACACACCAGTTATCCACTCTTATCCTCTCTCTAATCTCTAAGTGGATAGACAGAGTCTTCATGGAATTGGAATGCAGCTAACATAGAAATTAATATTACCATTATTTACCTGTATATAGCTTACACTTTAAATTTATCAAAAAAATTTGGTTTCTCATTAGACTGAATGAATTTTCATGATTGCCTGATTGGAAGTCCCAATCACTTTTTAGGTCACCTGAGTAACTCAGGTGACCTATTGCTATCCGTTTTCGTCCGTCGTCGTGTGTCGTGTGTCGTGCGTCATGTGTTAACAATTGAACATTTTCAGCTTCTTCTCTGAAACCGCTGAACCAATTTCAACCAAATTTGGTATACAGCATCTATGGGTAAAGGGGAACAAAAATTGTGAATTTTATGGTCCCCGCCCCCCTGGGGCCTGAGGGGTGGGGCCAAAACCACTAAAATTATTGCAATCTTTAAAAATCTTCTTCTTTACTCCTGGACATCAAGCAGGCAAACTGATGGCATGAATGTAATGAGCATTGAGTCCTCTACCAAAATTGTGAAATTCATGGCCCCAGGGTCAGGGGTTCTAGTGCTAGGGCGGGGCTATATAGATTATATAGTGAAAATGCATTAATTCTTTGAAAATCTTCTTCTCTGCTCCTGGGTATTAAATAAACTAAGCAAGCACATAGTTATGATAAGAAAGAGTGCTTCTACCAAAATTGTGAATTTTATGACCCCAGGGTCAGGGGTTCTGGTGTTAGGGGGGGGGGCTCTATTGGTTATATAGTGAAAATGCATTTATTCTTTGAAAATCTTCTTCTCTACTTCTGGGTATTAAATAAACTAACTAAGTACATAGATATGATGAGCAAGAGTGCCTCTTCCAAAATTGTGAATTTTGTGGCCCCAGGGTCAGGGGTTCTGGTGTTAGGGTGGGGCCCTATTGATTAT